GACCAGGCCAGCCTCAAGCTCTGAATCTTCCTACCTCCAAGTGCTGGGAGTACCGGTGTGCACATTAAACCTGTCTACCATAGTCCATTGTTACACATTGGGCCCTCTATCTCTATCCTGGCCACATCAGTCTCACGCCATAACCAGCATGCTTTCTCTTTCTCTTTCTCTTTCTCTTTCTTTTCTTTCCTTTCTTTCTTTCTTTCTTTCTTTCTTTCTTTCTTTCTTTCTTTCCTTCCTTCCTTCTTTCCTTCCTTCCTTCCTTTCTCTTCCTTCCTTCCTTCTCATTTTTTCTTTATTCTTCTTTCATGCAATAAACACACTGTTTCTTAACCGCTGAGCCATCTCTCCAGCCCCAATAAACACACTGTTTCTAACAGCCCCTCTTTTCTCACCCCACCCCCTACCCTATAGTACAAGACACTGTCAGTTTAGCCTGTTTAATATTGAGTTTCCAGAATGTTTCCTGGAGGCAGGAGAGATGGCTCAGCCGTTAAACACTAGACTCAAAACCAAAAGGACAGAGGAGGGGGCCGGATGGAGCCCTGGCTTCCTAGCAGAAATCTCCACCTCTGTTGTTCGATGGGGGACTCAGGTTTGAGCTAATACAGAGAGGGATTTTTGCCTTGAGGCTTGAGGTAGAGAAGGCTGAATCTGGGTCATTGGAAAAGGAAATCTGATAAACTTATTCAGGCTTAGCCACTCCTCCCTCCCTTCCTGCTCCCTCTCTCCCTCCCAAGTAATTTGTATCTTAATCAGAGTCAGAGAGTGACCTGAGTTTAGGTTCAGTAGCAGAATTGGTTCGTTTAGTCCTACAGATCCTCGGGGCCTTGAGACTGGATGACGATGATGGAGAATTTTCTCTAACCATTTTGCTTAAGGCACGCAGTAAGGAAGGTAACTTTGCTCAGGTGAGAGGACAGGTTAGCGCCACTGCTCAAACCCAGCAGCAGGCCACTCACGTGTCCCTATAATTCCTGCAGCAGCTGACTGGGGGTGTATGGCCACACTGGTGTGAACATAGCAAGCGCTCCGAGGAGAAGAGCGGAAGCCGCCTTCTGAGAATATTGACATTGTCACTGTTCCAGCTGGGAAAACTTTACCCCAAGTTAGGCCAACTACTGCATTTCTTCTTTTGAGGTCTCCCAGGCCTGTCTCTCCTTTGACCTCTTCTTCCTTCTCCCGGAAGCCTCCCTGACTCCTAACAGCTTGTATATTGTTGTAGTCACCTGAGGAGGCTGAGGGACCTCACTGAAGGTTTCATGTGAATGTCAAGATGGATAGAACCACTCATGAACCAAGAGAACATGAAAGGTTTTCTTGTTTGCAGAATTGCCATCTCTCAGGACGGCAGCTCCCACACGGCTTGCAATCATGGAAGGTTGAGGATTACGTGGATTTTCGCTGTGGTGGAGGGTGACTGTTCACCCAGGGAGGGGCTCTGTGACTCTCCTTGCCTTAGACAATGAACAGAGGCCCCATCCGTGCTTGCGGGCTTGTCCAGGTGTGAGCCGTTAGGGAAGGGAACAGGGAGAGGCTTAAAGCCTGTCCACTAATACGTCAAAAGCTGAGCCGAGGCCCATCGTTTCACATACATCCTGTGTTTCTAGGCTGGTCTATCCTCCGTCAGAAAGAGCTGATCATGTAAAGTCAACTGGAGGGATAAGAGGAGGCCCCGGAGACAAACTGCTTAGGAACAAAGGGTTTCAGCCCTGCAGCATGGAACTTCGAGTTCTCTCTCCAGATCTGCAGCCCAGACTCAGGCAGGCCCTGTCTCCCTCCACTCCAGTCCATCCCCCATAGGTCTGTCTGACGCTTCCCACATTCCTCAGCTGGGTCTGTCTTCTACCAGTCTCCCGGCTCTTGCTCCCACGTTCCCTCTGGACACTCCTTTGGACTGGAAATGCCATCCCTCATCCCTTTCCTGCTCCTGGTCACCAGATCGGACATGCTGGTCCTTCCTGTTTGGGATGGTTTACTAGATAAGGTCTGGCATGGATCCCATCTGTCATCACCACATGACTCAAAACTATTTTGGGCAGGACCCTTGCTTATACCAAGTGTCCACCCTGGCCCTCCTGGCTCTGGCTATTGACACTCCTCCAGGAATAGGGCCAAGAACCAAGGGAGCTATCCAGAAGGGCAAATGCAGCGGCTCAGCTTCCATCCAGCTTCCTGTTCCTTGACCCCAGATGTCTTTGGTAGCTCTAGCCCACAAGTCAAACCATGAGAGAGACTGAGTGGCCCTGGAAGTCGAAAGTGGACCAATACTGTTCTAAGGGCAGCCAGGGACAAGTGTCTGCTCTCAAGTGCCACAGCGAAAACTGTTATCACAGCTGCTTTTGTTTAGGTATGTCTGACTGTCTGAACAACATCTGCCTGGAGTTTGTCTCTTAAAGACACAGCTGTGGCCAGCGGCTTCCCTTCCCAGCTCTGACTTCCCATAACTTGTATAATTTCGGACATCCAGGTACACCCCTGAAGCCTTGAGGCCAACAAGGACGACCACCCTGGCTTTCACAGGGAGCCTGGAAAGATAAAGTGAGTCTTGCCTCTGGAATGATCTGTAAGCTGCGAAGCCAGGCTTCAGAGGCCACTCCCCAGGCTCTGATTCTAAGTTGTGCTCCCAATTGTACCCAGTAAAAGATGTTTGCTGCTCAAAGGTCAATATTCAGAGGCTAGCCTGGGCTACATGGTAGAATGACAACCTGACCTCCATAGGCATACCGTGCGTGTTCTATATGCTGAGTGCAGACTTGGCTGCCTATGGTTTCCCTCTCCGGGCTGGGACGGTGGTGGTGGTGGTGGTGGTGGTGTGTGTGCCATTGTGTGTTTGTTTTCTTTCTTCCCCTCTGGCCAGAACACTGCAATCCACTTTATCTCCTGGGACTAGTTCCTGTACGTTCCTAAAACAGATGTGCTTCTTATCGGGAGGGAGACAGCACAATTGTGGACACATGCAAGGACAAGGGAGCAGTGTTACAAAGGTCGTCGGATCTTCTGGTACCTGCGAGGCGAAAGGAAGACAGATTGTCTAGCTGTCGCCATTTTAACCATTTAGGCGTAATGTGTAGTTAGAATTCACTGTGCCAGGCAAAGGGGTGGGGTGGGGTGGGGGCGGGGAAGGGTAGAAACAGTAATGGCTGAAGACACTCCCAGAGGAGAGGCCAAGTCCCACCAAAACCTGAGTTCTCCTAAGTGTTAATCATTGTTAGGAAGAGTTCTGGGGTACTGTGCTGTCAGAATCCTCGCTGCGCTGCGTGGCCTTAGCCAAATCACTTATCTCTTCTGAACCTTGGTGTTCCCACCTTAACGCAGAGATAACAGCTCCATGGCTGGTGTGAGGGTTTAATGATTGTAAGACATGCCTTCCAGTGGCTCACCTCTGTTTTCATTTTTCTTTTTATCTCTATAAACTCATCTGGGCTGTTCCTACACCAATGCAGGGGCTCTCGGGGCTGCGAAAGAATTCAAACCTACTTTATTCAGGAAGCGCTAGCTGCTCCCCTTGGTCCCTCCAGAGCTGTGTCTGATGGAGGGACAGCCCTGCTCCCACAGGTAGAATGACAGGTACAGACCCGGATTTACATACATAGTGGTGCCAATGACAAACTGTCAGGAATTGTCATTAGCAAAAGGCCAGCATTGTCTCTAAGGGCTGCACAGCAAGACCATCCATGTGGAAATGAGCCTGTTCTAAGGTTACGCTGCATAGACAGGGAATCAGACTCAGAATGCGCTGGCTTCTCACACCCCAGAGCAGAATCCCATCCAATGGGTCCATTTTCTGCTTTCCCTTTTCCTTGTTGTATGTGACAGATCACAAATAAATAAATAAATAAATAAATAAATAAATAAATGACTTGAAAAGGTAGTATTCGTAAATCAGTTAACCAAGTTCCTGCTGCATATGGTGTTTTCTTATTATAAGAACATATAGAAGGCGGGTGGCAGCGGCACATGCCTTTAATCCCAGCACTTGGGAGGCAGAGGCAGACGGATCTCTGTGTGTTCGAGGCCAGTCTGGTCTACAGAGTGAGTTCCAGGACAGCCAAGGCTACACAGAGAAACCCTGTCTTCAAAAAGCAAGCAAGCAAACAAAATCCCCAAAGAATACATAGAAAACGATGCTCAAGGGAAATGAGTCTTTGTTCTGCAATAGGGGAAATCTGAGTTAGACTCTAAAAAATGTCCATAATGATCCCTTTCAGTTTGAGTCCTTCCTGGATAATGAGCTCTGGGAGCCTAGCCCACCTGTCTCCACCCAGCATCACCTGGTACACGACTGTAGGGGTTGAGGTCCCATTCACTGCCCTAGGAGACAAATGCTGCCCTTTGCTAATTACGATTACTGATGGGCTGTCATCACCACCGCTAAACATCTGTCTGGCTTTGCGGAGGAGCCGGTTCCGGCTGGGATCAGGATGAGAAGGTCGGTGGGCAGGAGAAATACTCCTCCTCCATGCAGGGACTTTACTACGAAAAAGAAAGTCCAGAGACCCGCAGTCAGGGACTCTCAGCACTGCGGAGGTCCGCAGGGCTCGGACAACCGTTCTCCGAAGAGCCAACGCCTGGTCAGTCCAGCCCACACAGCGGTGCTGGCAGCGCCTAGAACGGCCTTTCCAGTTGCAGCGGCAGCGAAACGCCAGGCAAATCCCACCTCCGGCCCCGCCCGTCTAATCCGTCTTGCACCGAAGACGACGGCGTCCTGGGAGAAGCAAGCCCCTGGGAGGAGAAATCCAGGCTTTTAGGGCTCCCGACAGGTGTCTGAGATAGAGGGCGGAGTCGCGGTAGCACGGGTGGAGAGGGAGGGGCGGCGCTGCCCCTTTAAGAGGCGGTGGCCCAGCGGGGACCTTTTTCTCTTTCCCCGGAAGGAAAGCGAGCCCGGACTAGGCGCGCAAGGTGGGGAGGTGCGGGGTTGGGCGGTGGGGAGGCGGGGCGCGCGCCGGGGGAGGATCCCTCCGTCCTGCCCTCCTGGCGGCGGTCGAGGGTTTGCCTTTCCAGATCCTCCACCTAGCCGAGATCCAAAGAGCTAACACCGCCCAGGGGGCGCGGCCAGGACCATCTAGGGCGTGGGGTGCCCGGAGCCCGGAACGGCGACCCGTCCACCCGACCAGCGGGAGAGTAGATCCACGGATCTGGAAAAAGGATTGGAGAAGCGACACCCCGGAGCGGACGTGAAACGGACCCGGGAATAGGGCAAAATAAAAAAAAAAAAAAAATTGCCTGGGACTCCGGGCGCGGCGGCGCAGCGGGCTCGGGTGTCTTCTGGCGGCGCCTGGAGCAGGTGAACAGTTCCATCACCCACGGTGCTGAGCCCGCTTGCGTTTTTGTTTTTGTTTTTTTTTTTGCCCCCGGCCCGGCCGGCGCTCCCAGCCATGGGCCCCGGCTCCCGCCGCGTGCCCGGTGCCCCTGGCTGGATGCTCCGCGTCCTGGCCTTGATGGTGGCTTCTGGCGGCCGGGTCGCCTTCGCCTTCAACCTGGACACCCGATTCCTGGTGGTGAAGGAGGCGCTGAACCCCGGTAGTCTCTTCGGCTACTCGGTCGCCCTCCATCGGCAGACCGAGCGACAGCAGCGCTACCTGTAAGTCAGCCCGGCGGCGGCGAGGTGGGATGCTGAAGAGGGTATGTGCCCGGATACCTGACCTGAGCTAGGTCAGAGACGAGACCAGGGCCCGCTGACTTCCAGGCCTGACTCTGCCGGCCTTTCCTTGTGAGCCCGGATTAAGGGGGGCGGCCCTCCGATTGTGGGGCTTGGCGGGAAGTGGAGGATGAGGGGCAGTAATCATGGCAAGTGCTGACTTGGCCAGAACCTGTCTAGACGCGGCCGCTTCGCGACTCAGACCTCTTTGGCGAGCACAAGTAGGGTCTCTTGTTGTTCAGCGCCCTGAGAATCCAGTACCTAACGTTAGCTTCTCTCCTGGGCTGGGAGAACTCTGTAAAATAAACACCTATTGCATCCCTCTTCCCTTCCTCCTGGGGAGGACCCCCCGGAATAGATGCGTTTAAGCCCCCATTACCCTTCTCATTTAGCCTGGGGTCACAAGCAGCCACGCCCTCTGCAGAAGCAGGCCGGACTGCTTCTCAAGGGCTTGGCCTTGCCGAGTGAGGCGATGAAGAGGCCGGGCGTTTGGAGCTGTCCAGAGGTTCTCTCTGACCCTTAGAGGACCGGGCGGTGGTGGAAGACAGACGAGGCGCTGTCCTAAGCCTCGGGGGCCAGCGCCCACCCGGAAGCAGTGGGGGGTACTCCCACCAGGCATCTCCCTGCATTCCACAGATTCATGTTGAATCAGCAGCCCCGGAGTGTGTTTGTTTTGGTTTGAAGAGGGGAATGGTGTTTTCTCTGTCTTCTGCTCTCCTTTGCGACAGCTGCAAGAAGCGGGAAGAGCCGAGCAGAGGGGAGGGAGGGGGGGAGGGAGGGAGGGAGGAGGGGAGAAAAGGAGGAGATCGCATCCAGCCACCCGCCCCTCCCCGTGCACACTCATGTCCAGGTGTCTGAGGGTTTGTCTGCGTGGGTTCTATGTGCTGAGGCTGGCTAGCTGAGGGAAGAGGGTGACCGGAGGAGGTGCCCAGGGAGGGGCAATGGTAATCACACTGACCCCCTTCTACCTTTTGAGCTGGATGGCCTCCCCTGGCCTCCTGCCTGGCCTCCGACAGTTACTAATTTAAAAGACACAATCAAGGTTAGAGTGTTAAAACCTCTCCCTGTTCTGCATGGGGCCTGTAGAAACTTTGAGGAAGTTTGGAATGTTCAAAGTCCGACTCACTTCAGTCTTTGCCTCTGCCGTGCTGGCCCAGCCCCTGTCCGTTCTGCCCACCTGGACTTAGCTTCTACCCTATCTAGCCCCAGCAGAAGGTAGGGCCACCACACCCTTCCCACCCTGGCTGGGCAGATTTAACCTTCTGCCTTGCTGAGGCCCTCTGACAACAGATAGTTGCTACAGCAGTGCCTTTGCCTCCCCTATCCTAGCCCAGGACATAGCTTTCAGATGTTCTGGTGCTGGATGTGCATGGCCCGAGCTAACTCAGTAGAAGAGCTTCTGCGACCCCTCCCCCTCTGCTCTGTGACCTTGAGGAAGAGATTTCCCTCCTAGGGACCAGTTTCCCCCAGGATGAGGTTGTACCTGGATTTATATGTTCCTTCTTCCTTCCTGTCTCCGCTGGCCTGTGAGAGGCACCTTGGCCTTGTAGAGAGAGAAGAAACTGAGCGTCTCACTACTGCTGTCTTGTCCTGGCTCTGTCCCTTAACACTTGAGACAGTCGTGGAGAACACACCTTCTTAGTGTTAATGAGACAGTATGTCTAGGATGGTCCTGGCGTGGCCAGTTCTCCGGCGGATACCAGAAGGCTCTGGGGCTGAGACTGGATGGAGGTGTATCTCTTTCACCTACGGGTCCTACGCAAGCTGGCCAAGTATAAGACTTCTGCTTTCCTCTCCAGGCAGCTTCGGAGAATGCTGAAACTGATGGACCTCTGAGGGCAGGTGGTTCTGGACAGATGGGTCTTCTCCATCTTGCCCAGAGCTGCTTCTGTGTCTTGGCTCTGTCTTCGTCTCACTGAGTGCAGCTCTCCCGGCCCTTTGGGAGAAGCAGCTGGGATTCACTACAGCCAGCTGTGTAGCCAGATGTGAACAGCTGCCTGAGTGTTGTAGGGAACCAAGATGTCAGACTGTAGCCTCATATTTTGTCAAATTCCCCTTGGAAAGGTAGGATGGCTCACGGTTTGTGCTTTGGGGTCCGCCAGCTGTTAGGGAACCCTGAGCACAGCTATGGGTTTATGCACTGTCCTTGGGGGGTTGGGGAGGGGAGAGCATAGCTTCTGTGTTCTCGAAGATTTTGGCCCAGAAGCGTTAAAAATCCAAAACAGGCTCTCTTTGCTGTTTACCACCTTTATCTTAATCCTGGGGTACCCCACCCACAGCCCAGGCTCATAGCACTCAGTATCTGAAAGTAAGAATCTGAGGTAGCTGGGTGGTGGTGGCGCATGCCTTTAATCCCAGCATTCAGGAGGCAGAGGCAGGCAGTTCTCTGTGAGTCTGAGGCTAGCCTGGACTACAGAGTGAGTCCCAGGACAGCCAGGGCTACACAGTGAAAAATTCTGTCTCAAAAACAATCAAAAGGAAAGCAAAACTAGGACAGACCATTCATTGTGGGCTTATCCATCCATCTATCATCTATCTGTCGGTCTGTCTATCTATCTACCTATCTATGTGTTATCTATCTGTGTGTCTGTCTGTCTATCTATCATCTATGTATCTGAGACATGTTCTTTTAGGTAGCTCTGGCTGTCCTAGAACTCGTTCTGTAGACCAGGCTGCCCTCGAACTCACAGAGATCCATCCACCTTCCGATGGCTCCCAAGCTGTAATTAAAGGCTTGTGCCACCATGTCTGGCTTACTTTGGGCTTTTTGATGTTGCATGAAGCCCCCTTAGAGGGAGAAGAGCTGCTTGTTTGGGAGGTACTTACTGACCCTTCCTGCACCTGCTCTGTTATTCCCTCTTGCTCTGGCCTGACCTCATTGGCTGGGTGTGGGGTTTCCTCTGGGGCCCCCTCCCTTTCACCGTTGGAAGTGAGGGTGTCTGGGAAACCTGGGAGGGAGTGGCTCCTGGAAATGAGGTCATGCCTGAGATAGGCAGGAGTCTGGCTTACCTGCTGTGCTCTTGAAACATGTTCCCTGGGCAGGGCGGGTTCCTGGCAGCCTTCATGGCTCGTGCCAATAGAAATGGCATGGCAGCTGTGGCTGTGGCACAAGGCCTGAATGTGGTTTATCCATCTCTGCTGGCTTTCTTCTCCAGTGGCCATTCTAGGCCAGAAGGCTTTACAATGGGCAGGAGGTAGAGGAGGTTCTGTTCTTGCAGAAAAAGAAGCAGCAAAGAGAGATTGGCTGAGTAGCTCACACCTGTCATGCCGGGACTCAGAGAGGAAGGCAGAAGGATCGGCAGTTTGCTGAAAGTCCAGGCTATGCAGGACGACCCTGTCTCAAAGAAAAGGGTGGTAGTGAGGCAATTGGGCCGAGCATAACAGAAAAAGAAAAGAAAGAAAATGTTCATTGCAGTAAGGGACTGAGGTTAGATAACTCAAGGAATGCCCTAAAGGGTCAAATATGTCAAATATGGAATACCTACCAAAAAGCCAGGGAAAGAGAAGTGAGAAAAACACTTCTTTATTCTTTTTCACCTGAGGCCCTGCCAAGACCTCATTCTTCCATCTTTCTCATTCTCCCTCCAGCTTGTTGCTCTGGTTCTAGGGCTGAGTCACCAGGAGAAAGGGGGTTGGGTGGGCAGCGTGCGGAGGGGTAGAGGAGGATTGTGAGGGCTGCAGTTTCAGCCGCCATAGGAGAGCCCCTGGGGAGGTGGCTAAATCAGGCAGCAGGGCATAGAGCTGGCATCCAAGAACTGACCTCCCTCCTACTCAGGCCGGAGCAGCCATCGCCTCCCCTCCTGCTTCCACGACTGGCATCTGAGGGGAACAGCGACAGAGACCCCAAGGAAGGCCCTGGGGCCTCCCTGAAATCTCCCCATAGGAGCCACCACACACCTCCCTGAAATGAAGTTGAATCCTATAGACTTTCTTTGAGCATCACCCCCCATCCCCGGAATCCCGAGGGCCTCTTCCTCTTTGGTGTGAGCCAGACTGGTGCCCTGAACTCTCTTGGGTCCCATTCCCCAGCTTTCTCAGATAATGCCATTTTCTCTTCAGTTATTCTATCAGCTTTGAACTCCTTGGGAGGAGTGGAGGTGTAGAGGGCTGGGCAGGGTGAAGAGCCCCCCCTCCTTGCACTTGAAGCTCAGGGGTTCCCCAGAGACCAGGAGGGGCTTTCTAGTTGGAGCCAAATGAAAGGAGGAAGAGACAGTTGTTGAGAGCTCTTGATCTTCTATTTCACCCAGCCATCTGCTTCCTGGGGTGCTCTCTGCTCCCCCAAGCCCAGCCTGACTCAAGGAGAAAAAGGTCCTATCTCCTGAGACCTCTATCTGGGCATCCCCACTTGCCTTTCCCCTCTGTGGCTGGAAGGTGGGTCCCGTGGTGGTCTGGGGGTGGGGGTGGTCAGTTAGATTTTTGTCTTTTTAAATCTGGAGCCAACAGCACTACCTGCTATCCATTTGCACAGTACTTTATATTTCAACTTTACGTACCAGGAAGGTCTGTCCCAGTCTTGGGATTCCCTAACCCTGTGGTAGGAGGAAGATGGACCCTACCCTCTGGAAACCCCTTCCTCCATCCGTGTGCAGGCCTCTGGCTGTAGACCACTGCATCCCGGGCTGGGAGCCAGAGGGCCTTAAAGGGCCTCTGAGCGGGCCAAGTAGGAGCTAAAAATACTCCAGGGGATGTGGGGGAGCTCCCAGTGGAATCTCATAGGAGGGAGGAGCCTGGGGATTAGGGAATTGGCCCCTCCTCAGTCCCCACCAGTGGGCACAAGGCTGGCACCAGGCAAGGACAGGAATTTGAAGAGTGTGTGGAGTCTTATTCTAATCCAGCCATAGTTTGTGCTTGGCGCTGCCTGTTCCATCCCTCAGGCGGCTAAGAGGAAGGGTCCCTCAGTTCCTCCTAGTGGAGACAGGCTCGGTAGCTGCCCCTCAGCTACCTCCTGATGGTTAGGCAGGACAGTGGCAGCTGTGATGGGAATGGCATCCATTACATCCTTTGCTCCCCACGGCCCCCTTTCACCCATTGAAGCTTACAGCTCTTCAAGCTCATTGTAGCAGACCCCACCTCCAGCCAAAACCGCAGAGCTTCTTTTGGAGATAAGCAGATCCCAGCCTCCCCCCCCCCCCCCCCAGTGACTGCCAGCCTTCCTCAGGATGTGGAAGTCCTACCTCTGCTCACCCCTCATTCCTTCCAAACAATGAAGTTGTCTGTCTTTTTTTTTTTTTTTTCTCCGCGTCAGGTTCCCTAACCTGCAGTATTGGAATTCCAGGGTCCCTGGAGAGAGTCTGGAGTCAAGCTAGGGCCAGTGCTGGTTCCACAAAAAAACAGAGCAATAGTGCTCACACTAGCCATGGCTTCCTTCCTCAGAGGGCCCTTCTGCAGGAGCCCATTTGTCTCCTCCAAGCCCTGGAGTGGCAAGTTCAGCTGAGAGTCCCGTTTTATAGATAAGACACTCAAGACTCACAGGGAAAGGAAATCACTCTCAGTACCAGTCCTGGAAGGAGGTCCCTAGCTCAGGCTGAGGTGTTCCTTCCAAACAGGCACTAGCTTCCTTCTCTCCTTTGTCAAGCATGCCAGCGGGTGTGTGGTGAGTGACAGTGGTCAGGCAGGTACCCTCCCTAGCCTGAACAGAAGTTGGCTAGTGGCCTGGCTATCCTATCTGTTCCCTTACTCCTCCCTGGGATGGTCAGAACACCACTCTGTTTGGGGAAGTTTTGCCCCTGCCTGGAGGAACAGCGCTGAAGGAGAAGTCTGAGGTGCAGAGGAGAGGTGCAAGCATAGGTCCACCCACTTCCTAGTACCCCCAGGCAATGCATTCCTTACTCCCAGTAGGTGGAGGCACCCCAGGCCCCAGCATGCCCGAGCCCTGCCCTGCCTGCTCCCTGCCGCCCTCCTTCTCAGGTCCAAAGCTGGGCTGTAGGCACAGCCATTGCTCAGCACTTCCAGACTGGCCAGAGGCCTGGAGCCTGGGAGCCTCAGGGCCACAATGTTGCTGGAATAAACAGAGGGGCACCTGGGAAGTGCTGCCACCCAGGAGGCTGACGTGGCAGCGGGAAGGTGGCAGAAGGCATGCTCCAAGCAGAATATTGAAAGGCTACAGGGAGGAGATACAAGGAAAACCTTGGTTCCGAAGCTGGGCTGCCCCAGATACTGTTCAAATGGCCTGTGGTAGTTGGAGATCTTGTTTTACAAATACCCAGGGATAGTCTGAGAGAGGATTTCAGGGCTCATTCACTGTCTGCTCTGCTTAAGTGTCTCCGTTAGTGTGGGATGGAGTTGCAGGGTCCTAGCCCCCTTGTGGGAATGTCTTGGTGTCCCTCAAGATGGATTCTGGGAACAAGGTGATAGATAGCTCCTGTCCACTCCCTTTTACTGGAACTCTGTTCTCGGGCCACGCTGGGTATCCAGCCCCACCCCATACCAGTGCGCTTGTCTCGAGGTGGGGTGGGGCAAATGGAGGCATCGCTCAGCTCGCTTAGAGATCTGCGCCTCCTCGAGCTTTATGCTTGATAGTTTCCAGAGGAGAGATCCAGGTTTTCAATAGCTCACCCCTCCTTACACAGGTCCCTTCTGCCTTCCCTGGCCACCCCCCAACCCCCACTCACACACCGGGCACTTGAGCCCATAACTGCCATTCCTTCAAAATGTAATTCTTCAAAACGTAAGAAGAAATTCCTTTTCTTCTGAGGCCAAAGGATTCCTTCAAAAATGCGGATCTGGGGCTGGGAATGTACCTCAGCCGGTAGAGTGTTCACCCAGCATTCTGGAAGCTCTGGGTTAAATTCCTAGTACTACATAAAACTGGGCATGGTGGTACATACCTGAAAATCCAGCATTTGAAAGGTGGAAGCAGAAGATCAGATGTCCAAGGTTGACTGGGGAGTATCCTATCCTTGGCTTCGTGAGACTGTGTCTGAAAAAGAGAATGATATAAGGAAAACCCCCAAACAAACAAACAACAAACAAACAAAACAGATCTTGTTAACTTCCTTGCCTGGGGTCCCTCTGTGGTTCCTCTAAGGCCTTTGTCAAGACTTGTATGCCTCCCCCGCTGTTCTTCCCGGGATCTGGTTGTACAGAGGGCTGGTGCCTGAATCACTGGCTTGCTCATGCTTCCTGGCCCTTGCACACATTGTACCCTTGTATCGAGTGCCCTTCCTCCCCTTCTTCACTGGGTGGCCCCTGGCCATAGTCCTTACACTCAGGCCGGGGCACCTCACGTACAGACCTTCAAGCTTTCCTGGTAAGATGCTTACCGAGCGTGTGTCTCCTGGCCTGCCTTCCTCTGTGGTGGGCTCTCCACAGGACTGAGATTTGTTAATGCCCATTCCTCTAATGTGGAGGAATGGAGTTCATGCCCAGTGAGTGTTGATTTGCAAGTTGGCTGGAGGGAGGCTTGTAAAGTCAGGCTGGCCCGCTTGCCTTCCTCTCCCAGGCTTCTGGCTGGGGCTCCCCGGGAGTTTGCTGTGGACGATGGCTACACCAACCGGACTGGAGCCGTGTACGTGTGTCCCCTCACCGCCCTCAAGGATGACTGTGAACGGATGGACATCTCAGAGAAAAGTGAGCCTGAGGAGCAGAGCTAAGCCAGGGGCCTGGCAGAGGGAGCCCAGAGGGGAGCTACAAGGCTAGCTTGTTAGTGAGGCTCATGGCTGTTATTCTAACACTTGAGGCTAAGGCAAGAGGACAGCAGGATCAAGGTCAGCCTGGTCTACACAGTGAGTCCCAGAATAGCCTGAGATGTATATGGAGACCCTTGCTTAAAAAAAACAAAACCAAGCAAAAAGCAAAGCTGGTTTACTTCCTATTCCTCTGGGAAGAGGAGCAGGAAAAAAGGGAAGGTCATATAGTGTGAGCTTGGAGCAATAGCAGACAGGACTTAGGAAGGAGGGAAAGCTCCGCTTAGGAGGCTTTGAACAATGGGATATGGAATGAGGAACCGTAGCTCATGATCCCTGTTCTTGCAGGTGACCCTGACCATCACATTATCGAGGACATGTGGCTTGGGGTGACTGTGGCAAGCCAGGGCCCTGCGGGTAGAGTTCTGGTAAGTGGACACTTAGCATCATCTTTCCAGAGCCAGGGAGGGCAACCTAGGGTGGCCAGGGATCCTCTGTGCGTGGCTGGGGTCTTTGCAAATGTCCATATCCATGGCCTCATGTCTTTTCAGGCCTGTGTGTCCCCCGAGTCCTGCACTCTCCCAAGGCTGCACATGGTGTAGGCCCTGTGAGCACGGATGCTCACCATTCGTGGGAAAGAGCAGAGAGAACTCGGAGGGGGAAAGGGCAGAGAGTGCCCGGGGCAGTTGGGTGCTGGCAGGCACTCCTTCCTGGGAGGCTGGCTGCCGGAAGAGGCACAGCCCTGGTGACCCTGGCTCACCCTGGCACTGGTTTGAGAGCCACTCCCTGCTGTCAATTGTCACCTTCTGCTGACAATTCTTCCAATGTCAGCCCTAGGGGAATCTTGATTTCTGTGTTCCAGACGGACATTATTAAGATTCATATAAAATTCTACATGTAGTAAAAAAGGGCAGATATTAACCTTCTCGGAGCTTTGACTAATGATAAGCCTGTGTCAGCAACACCCATGAAACGACATATTTATATCACTCCAGGAAGTTCTCTGAGCCACCTCTGAGTGGTCACCTAGCCATCGCCGCCGTGACTTCTGTCCTTTGAACACGATCATAAGCTCCAGGTTGGCAATCAGTCCACCAGACTACCCCTTTGTAGACCGTGTTGTTTGTGGGTGTGAGTCCAGAGGTTTGTGTAAGTGACTGTTGACCCTAGGATTAGCTACTTAGCCACCTTCACGCAGCCAACAAATATTTAGTTAGCACCTACTGTGCTCCGAGCACCAGAAATTGAGCAGTGCCTAAGGAGAAGCTCATGTGAAATGCTGGGGTGTGCTTGCTTACAGCTGGGGCGTGACAGAAAAAGCCAATAGACAAGCGCACCACCCGTTTCTAGATCTTGGAGAGCCCAGAGGCTAATTCAGAACACTTTTTACCCACTTGAGACAGTGTCTCACTATGCAGCCCTGGTTGCCTGGAACTCAGTCTGCAGTCCCGGCTGGCTTCAAACTCGGAGATCTGCCTACCTCTGCCTCCCAAGTCTGGGATTCGGGGGGGAGGGGCTGCCACCATGCCTGGTTCAAAATACTTTTTACATTTTTAGTTTGCTTATCATTATTATTATTTTTTTAATGTTTGTTTTGGCTGTGTTAGGGATTACACCCAGGGCCTTGGACTTGCTAGGCAGTGCTCAGGCCTAAAGTAACTGTATGGTTTCACTGATTTTTCTCCAGTCAGTGCGCATTCTTCAGGGCTGGAGAGATGGCTCAGCAGTTTATGAGCGCTGGCTGCTCTTTCAGATTGCCTGGGTTCAGTTCCCAGCACCCACACGGCGGCTCACAACAGTGCGCAACTCCATTTCCGGGGGATCTGATGCTCTCTTCTGTCCTCCTGCAGGCACCAAGTATATACATAGTTCAGAGGCATGCATTCAGGCAAAATAAGTATACACAAAAAATAAGATAAAAACATTTAAAGTTACTCCATGAGAAAAGCCTGGACTTGTGCTTGGCATATACTAAGTGCTCAGGAAGTGTTCGATGAGCTGGGTGGTGGTGGTGGTGATACACGCCTTTAGTCCTAGCTGGCAGATCTCTGAATTCAAGATCAGCCTGGTCTGCATAGTGAGTTCCAGAACAGCCAGGGCTACACCAAGAAACACTGCCTCAACAAAAGAACAAACAAATAAGCAAATAAGAACCAAATTAAAAAAGTGTTCACTGCTCTTATTACTATTATTTTATTATTTATTAATTATTATTTATTAATAATAATTATTATAATTTTAAATGATCCTTTAAACAGCAGGGTCATCTGGGGATGAGAGAAATGAGTCTCCTAATCTCTCTGTAAATAGCTCCTTTTAGACCCAGGAGCCTAAGGCTCACATTCCTTCATCCTCCAATTCCTTTCACCAAGATCTCTAAGCTGCTCTCAACTTCATACCTTCTGCCTTCCCCAGATCTGCTCCTGACCCTTGATTCCAAAATAGCGGGTAGAGAGTACAGGCTTCAGCATTCCCACAAGGAGGAAAAAAAAAGCCAGAGTTCCGTTCTGGCCCTTGACTTGCAAAGCCAGCAGGGTGAGAGGTACAGCTTGCCAGGAGTTCCCTGATCCTGGCTAAGGCCACGTGTGTGTGTATGTGTGTTTGTGGGTCCCTAGGTGTGTGCCCATCGCTACACCCAGGTGCTGTGGTCTGGGCTAGAGGACCAGCGACGCATGGTAGGCAAGTGCTATGTGCGTGGCAACGACCTCCAGTTGGACCCTGGCGATGACTGGCAGACCTACCACAATGAGATGTGCAACAGCAACACCGACTACTTGCAGACCGGCATGTGCCAGCTGGGCACCAGCGGAGGCTTCACCCAGAACGCTGTGTACTTTGGTGCCCCTGGTGCCTACAACTGGAAAGGTGGGGACCTGGGAGAAGGAAGGGCCACAGTGACCACCAATCAGTAAGCCACAGGGACGGCCTGTCCGACCATTCAGGGGCAGGGTCAGAAGAGACAGGGCCCCAGGCCAAGAGCAGTAAGCACGGACAGTCTCTACCGTGTCAAAGCACTCACTGTGTGCCAGTGGCTTTACATGTGTTCTTTAGATCTCTTGTGTGTGTGTACCTGTGAGCATGTGGGCATAGAGGCCAGAGGCTGACATCAGTGCCCCAGTTGCTCTTCGTTCACTGATGGAGTTCACTGATGCAACTGGAGTGGCTGGCCAGTGAACCCGATGGATTTGCCTATTTTCACCCTGGAATTTCGGAGCCTATAGGCACATGGTGCTGTGCCTGGCTTTTTGTGTGGATGCTGGGAATGTGAATTCAGGTCCTCATGCTCGCATGGCAAATACTGACTGGGCTATTTCCCCAGCTCTCTACACATATTATCTTAAGCAATCTGAAAAATGTGTGTGTGTGTGTGTGTGTGTGTGTGTGTGTGTGTGTGTGTGTGTGCCTGTGTGTGACAGAGTGTCACTGTGAACTTATTACATAGCCTAAGCTATTTTCAAACCCTTGGCAATCTTCTTGTCTCTGTTTTCCGAGTGCTGGAATTGTAGGCATTGAACCTAGCATTGCTAAAATACTCTGGGGATACAAGCATTTTATACCCATTTTACTAAATTAAAAATCATTTCTTAGAGAAGTTTCCCCACAATAAACCAGGAAACCTAGATTGAATTGTGACCTGTCTGATGTCAGTTCTGTCTGGTGTCAGTTCAACCTCTGAGAACTTTTACAAACATGCTTCTGGTGCAAACACTAAAAGCTTAGGATCTGTTAGAATCAAGAGCAAAAATGGCCAGTCCCAGTGGCACTGTCCTGTGATCCCAGCTACTCAAGGGGCTGAGGCAGGGGGATTCATAACTCCCTGGGATATTCAGTGAGTTCAAGTCCAGCTGGGTTAGCAATACTCTGTTTCAAGATTAAGGGGGGGGGGGGAAGCACATAGTTCAGTGGTAGAGCATTTACTTAGCTTGTATGAGGGTTGAAGTTCAACCCTCGTACCACAGATTAAGGAGGGAAAAAAATTTAAAACCTCCCTCCTCCAACCTCCCTCATTCCATTTCTCAACGTTTATAGTGTCTTAAGACTTCTTCTACTATCACTTTAGTATTTTTAAAATAATTTAAAAAAATTATGTGCGTTGGTGTTTTGCCTGCATGTGTCAGACCCCCTAGGACTGGAGTTACAGACAGTTGTGAGCTGCCATGTGGGCACAGAAGAATCAAATCTGGGTCCTCTGGAAGAACAGCCAGTGCCCTTAACTGCTGAGCCATCTCTCCAGACCCTTATTTTAGTGTTTATAGATATCTTCTTAAAAAAGAAACAGGATCAGACTAAATGTTCTTGCCTCCCACTTTCTCTTTTCATGCATCATAAGCTAAAAAGCAGCGTTTTGGGGTCAATACCTCCAGGACTGTCCTTTTACAGAGGTTACAGAATATTTCACTGTCTCGAGATCCTTGCTGGAGAGATGGCACAGCATCCTCAAGGCAGCTAAGAGCTGCAGTTCCGGGGACCCAATGCCCTCTTCTGGCCTCTGCAGTCACTGCATGCGAGTGGCGGGCAGCCATAGGAACAGGGAAAACACCCAGACCTATGATCACATAAACCAGGTGTGGTGCTACCTGTCAACAGTTGGGAGGCTCAGGCCTGGGGATCCTGAGCCCGAGTCCTGCCTGATCCCCTGAAACTGTAGCTACAGACCATTGTGTGCCATTGTGGATACTGGGAACCAAACCCGGGCCTCCCGGAAGAACGTCAGCCAGTGCTCTTGTCCGCTGGTCCATCCTTCCAGCCCCCCATCACAAAGTTCATGTCGGGGTGGGTATGGTAGAGGAAAAAGGCGGTGACTAATGCCTTCTGCTCCCCTTCCCCAATCTTTCTGCAGGAAACAGCTACATGATTCAGCGGAAAAGCTGGGATTTATCTGAGTACAGCTACAAGGGCTCAGAGGACCAAGGAAACCTCTACATTGGTAAGCCCAGTGCTTGTGGCCCATTGCAGGATGAGGGAAGCCAACCTGCATTTAGTTCGGCCAGAACACACTTACTGAGCGCTACCCGCCTTTGAGACCCAGGTTTAGGCTTTCAGGTGCAAATCTGGTTGTGTCGTGAAGCTCAGAACCCAGTGTGCAAGGGAGGCTACGGTTGCATCTGTGGCTCCCTTTTTTTTTTTTTTTTTTCTTCTCAACTTGCATAGAAGATAACAGAGGATGGGGAACTAGGGGGATAGGCCCAGGGTAGAAGGGGACGAATTTACCGGGGCTTTGGTTGAACATCCCCACCCCCTCATCCCAGGGTACACGATGCAGGTAGGCAGTGCCGTCCTACACCCCACGGAGATCACCGTCGTGACGGGCGCCCCACGGCACCAACATATGGGCGCCGTCTTCTTGCTGAGCCAAGTGCCAGGTGGAGACCTGCGGCGGAGGCAGGTGCTGGAGGGCACGCAGGTGGGCGCTTATTTTGGCAGTGCCATTGCCCTGGCAGACCTGAACAATGATGGGTGAGAATCTAGGGACCCGGGACATCTTCTGGGACCAGGGGGAAAGGTGGTGGGTGGTGGGGGCTGGGTGGCAGGCTTGCTTAAGCTAGAACAGGGAGGTAGAAGCTTTGCATTCACACACGGCTGTTTTCGGGGGGGGGGTCTGGCAATCACACTTGATGGGATCCTGGACATTTGCATGTCATTTGCATGTCATGACACCCGTGCTTGCTTCTCTGTACCTGTCATTCAAAAGGTGCCAGTGGGGCGGGGGCTTTTTGGAGTGTGATCTTCGCCTGCGTGATTTCTCCAGTGACAGGAGTTTTCTGCTTGGTGGGTCTTGTTGGCCTCCTCATGGACTGTGGCCAGACGTGTCTTTTGCTCAAGTTGCATGGCCCTGGCAAAATCGTGCTCATTAGATGACAAGTTCTGTTGTGTTATCCGGGCCAACCTCACACTCCCATTCCCACTCTTGTCCTGTGCAGGTGGCAGGACCTCCTGGTGGGAGCTCCCTACTACTTTGAACGGAAAGAGGAGGTAGGGGGTGCTGTCTACGTCTTCATGAACCAGGCGGGAACGTCCTTCCCTGATCAACCTTCCCTCCTGCTTCACGGTCCCAGTCGCTCTGGCTTTGGCATTTCCGTAGCCAGCATTGGTGACATCAACCAGGATGGATTCCAGGGTATGAGCCAGTACCCCTCCTCCGGCACCCTCGATGACTGAGCACCAACTGCATACCAGGCCTGGCAGGACTCACAGCTCAAAGGAATAGTATGGAGGACACACAGAGGCTAGCCTGGGGCCTCGCCTAGAGTGGGTGCTAAGTGGTTAGGCTTCGAGCGCACAGAAGAGAGGTACACATAGCATGCAGCATGAGCATAAGGACGTTTAGTATACGAGATCGAAATGTACACCGGAGACAAGCTGGTGAATGCGGTGAAAGCCAGGCAGAGGAAATGGGGCTTTCTATTTGGGTCACCGTGAGAGTAGGGGTGGCAAGGTCTCTAGAGAACTTTTTGGAGGCGGGATGCTATCTGATAGCTTGGTACTTTGGAGGGTGATTCTGGAGGGGTGTGGGGTGGAAGCGGTTAGGAAATCTAGGGAGATAGCTAGGATCGGGGATGTGTTATATCGGGTGATAGGGAAGGGCTGGGACAAGGATCAAGCCCTAGGTATAGTGGCATTGCCTTGGCCAGTGCTCTGGGGGACCCGGGGAGAAGTCACAGGGAGAACACATTAGGGAGTGAGCCTGTTTACTGTGGGGGCTCATAGAACTGACTTTATCAAAAGTCAGTTCTCCGACAAGCTCAGTTTCCCAGAATACAGCTGAGAACCAAAGGGAAGGCAAAGCCCTCTTAGGAGGCAGGCATGGATGCCGGAAAGGTCAACCAGTTGGTCCAGGCACTTCCCACAGAAGGGTCAGTGTTTTCAGCTCAGGGTCTGCTCACTCTCCTTGGCATCCTTTACAGTCGCCCAGGCCTTATCAGACCAAACGTAGCAGATAAGTCCAGCAAAAATTGAGATCTTCAAATGTGCTCAGTTTATCTGAGGAAACATTGCTTAGCATTTTAAAAGTCTTGATGCTCAGAGGTCTATTATACTGAAACAAAGCCCACCCAAATATTGTAGTTATAATCCAGTTTCCTGGTTGTGCGACCTTGGGATTTGAGTCTGCTTATCTATAAAAGAGGAGTATGGTAGCACACACACACACACACAATTCTTGTAAGGGTTAAGTGAAGTGGATTCTGTGAGTGCTGGCTGTTATCAGTGGGGAATGGCTTCTTTTTTTTTTTTGGCCTTGACAGTAAATGCCATTAGAAGAACCAAGGTGTCTGGAAAAGTGGTTGATGGGGGCTAGGGAAAGCAGGAAACACTGGATTATGCTAGGGGATGTAGGGCACAGCTCTGTCTGTGGCACTGCCTTGCTGTGTGACTTTGAGGAAGTTTCTTCCCCCTTTCTGGAACCTTCATTCCCACCACAGCGCTAGAGCTCTGAAGTTCCCCACTGCCCTGAACACTTCTGCCAGGGTGAGGTCATTGCCACACTGGGCTCAGTAGCCTGCAACACAGAGGGAAAGAGCTGTGCGGCTCAGAATGACTCTTCCCTGTCTCTCCTCCCCAGACATTGCCGTGGGAGCTCCATTTGAGGGCTTGGGCAAGGTTTACATCTACCACAGCAGCTCCGGGGGGCTCCTCAGGCAGCCCCAGCAGGTATGAATGAGTGGGGACAAGTCTGATACCCCCCCTGTTCTCCCCGGGGCCTCCTCTTCCAAGCATGTCTCAGAGTCTGTCCCTACTCCCTCTTGGCCTCAGATAATCCATGCAGAGAAACTAGGCCTGCCGGGCTTGGCCTCCTTTGGCTACTCTCTGAGTGGGAAGATGGATGTGGATGACAACTTTTATCCAGACCTGCTGGTGGGAAGCCTGTCGGACCACATTGTGCTGTTGCGGTGAGCTAGGAGACCTCGGGCAGGGCCGGGTCCCTCTGTCCTCATCTTCATGGTGCCTCAGCTCTGCTCACCTTCTGCAGTGATCCCGAAGCCCAGCCCTCGCCTGGAGTGGGCAGTAAATACTGATAATCTGCCTGCTTTTTTGTTACTCTAGGGCCCGACCTGTCATCAACATCCTCCATAGGACCTTGGTGGCCAGGCCAGCCGTGTTGGACCCCTCGCTTTGTACAGATGCTTCCTGGTGAGACTATCAGCTCAGCTCTTCATTCCCAGTCCCCTCATTGCTGGGGGAGAGCAGGCAGAAGGCTTGAGGAGTGAAAGCTGGAAGGAAGGGGAAAGGGAATGGATGCTGTTAGGTGGGTGGGTGTGGGGAAGGAGATTCACTGGGCAAATTATTTGTCTGAGTCTCAGATAACATATAAAGGGTAATAATCAAGTCCTGAGATAATAATCAGGTGCTTGAGATAATTAAATGAGATAATTTTTTTAAAAAAGTCTTAAACATGGTACGCTGTACTTTAAGTGTTCAAAATAAATAAATAAATTAATTAATTAAAAAAAAAACAAACCCAGTTGCTAAGGAAGTGATAAAGACAGTAGTGACCTCAAGGGGTTTTGGTGGATATTATTCTGCTAGCAAAGGGGACAGAACTGAAAAGCAGGGGATGGGTGACAAAGAGTAAGATCTGGAAATCCTAAGACCTGGCCTGGGTCATCAGTCAACTGATAACGTCAGCCAAATCCTGCTCCCTGGACCTCAGTTTCCCCACTGGTGACCTCTAGAAACAGTGAGTGAGAAGTCACAACAGCTTGCAGACTCCCCAGTTTTGCTCCTGCCGCTCCCCACAAGGGTCCTGAGTTCCCTTTGCCTAGCACAGGGGTGAGAGGCAGGACATGGCTGTCCCTCCCACTGTGACCAGGCCCTGCTATGCGCCCCTCCCAACAGTGTCCAAGTGGAGCTGTGCTTTGCCTACAACCACAGCGCTGGGAACCCTCACTACAGGAGGAACATCAGTGAGTGCCCCCCCCCCCCCCCCGCTCAGGTGGGAGGGAAATCAGGGTACGCCCGCCCACCTGGCCACCTGCTGACTGCCCTGACTGTCTCCAGCTCTGGCTTACACATTGGAGGCTGACCGGGACCGCCGCCCACCCAGGCTCCGATTTGCCCGCAGCCAGTCGGCTGTCTTTCATGGCTTCTTCTCCATGCCAGAGACACATTGCCAGACACTGGAGCTGCTGCTGATGGTGAGGGGGGAGCTGTGGAGGATGATGGGGGCTCTGGGATCCCTGGAAGAGCTGGCCAGTGTCCCTCCAAGGCAAAGCTGAGGGACAGGGGTATCCCCGAAGACAGAATTTGGGGAAGCCATTCTAGTGAAAATGGATTGGCAGGATGGTGGCAGCACACAGCATGACGCCTGTGGTAGTAGGGAGGGAAACCAAGGTGGAGATGGGGACAAGGCTTTCCACCTTGGAAAAGAGGTGTTGGCCTGGAAAGAATGGGTCCCCGACTCAGGACAAGCTCAGTTCCCCTTTGGTGCATCATGGTGTGATGTGGACCTGGAGATCCATAAAGTAAAGGAACCCCATCTCTGGGAAGGAGAAGCTCTATCTATCCGGGGGACAGGGCAGCGCAAGATGGTAGGACTCAGTTTGGTGATTGGATTAGTGGGGGTTCAGGGCAGAGAGAACCCACGCTCCTCCCTTGGGCTTAGTCTGGCTAGGGTTTAGCAAAGTGGATGGAAGGATTCAACTTGGGGGCTTCACCTCACCGTCTTCCCCAGGACAATGTCCGTGATAAACTCCGTCCCATCGTTATTGCCATGAACTACTCCTTACCTTTGCGCATGCCCGATCGCCTCAAGCTGGGGATGCGGTCTCTTGATGCCTACCCAGTCCTCAACCAGGCACAGGCTGTGGAGAACCACACTGAGGTGAGCAGGGCCTACCCCGGGACCGGAGGGCTGTGGGTCACAGGGTGATATGGGACGCAGCCCCTCAAGCCTCCCGCTGTCCCCAGGTCCACTTCCAGAAAGAGTGCGGACCAGACAACAAGTGTGACAGCAACCTGCAGATGCGAGCCGCCTTCGTGTCTGAGCAGCTGCAGCCTCTAAGCAGGTGGTATCTGGGTGACACAGATTGGTCAAGGGCGAGGCGGGGCCTCACTGGCCGACAGAACCGGGGCAAGGCTTCCCTGGCCAGGGATAGAGTGAATCTGAGCAGAGGGCTTTAATTAGCACGGACGCCTGTGATCCCAGCACTCAGGGAGGCAGGGGCTGGTGGAGCTCTGTGAGTTCGAGGTCAGGTCTACAAAGCGAGTCCAGGACAGCCATTGAGAAACCCTGTCTCGAAACAAGACAAAACAAAACAAAAAACGATTGCGTAGTAGGAGCTGGTTGGCCCCCAGTGGCTTTCCCAGCCTTAGGGGCGGAGCTTAGTGGAGGTGGGGCTTTTGGCTTAGTTCCGGACTCTTCTCTTCAGGCTCCAGTACAGCAGAGACACTAAGAAACTGTTCCTGAGCATCAATGTGACCAATATGCCGAGCCGCGAGCGGGCTGGGGAAGACGCTCATGAGGCACTGCTCACCCTGGAGGTGCCGCCCGCCCTGCTACTGTCCTCAGTGCGTCCGGTGAGTGCCAGCTGTCCAGGCTCAGCCCCAAACCCGGCTTCCTGTCTGTTTGTATCCCAGTGTATATGACATCTACCTGAATTTTCCCTTGCTGTGGTTTGCTGATCTCCTTCGGGACTGGGCTACCTCCGCTATATGGTAAACAAGCCTTCGGGGTTGCTTTCTTTCCGCAGGCTGGGACCTGCCAAGCTAACCAGACCATCCTGTGTGAGCTAGGAAACCCCTTCAAACGGAACCAGAGGGTGAGACCCGGTCACATACTCCGCTCCTCGAGGATCCTCATGAGACTTTTCCTAATACGACAGCCGTTTCACAGACGAGGAAACAAGGGCTTAGAAAGTTTCAGCAACCTGCTTAAAGGCGTGCAAAAGAGATCCCCAAAGTAGCAACGATGTCTAATGATGTCACCCAAAGAAGAAGCAGGGGAACCAGAGATGGATAAGGAAGGGGGATGGGGATCTTCCCACGCCATAGCCCCCTGCTGCGTTTCAGCGTTCCTCCCTGTTTCCCTTGTGCTAGATGGAGCTGCTCATTGCCTTTGAGGTCATTGGCGTGACCCTGCACACGAGGGACCTTCAGGCACACCTGCAGCTATCCACGTGAGTGGCCCAGGGAAGCTGTTCTGGTGAGGTCTGAGCTCATATCCTGGGGCTCCTTCTTACCACCTGCATTTTCTCCCCAGGTCAAGCCACCAGGACAACTTGCAGCCCGTGTCCCTCACTCTGCAAGTGGACTACACACTCCAGGCCTCACTCAGACTGTGGGTACCGCTTTGTCCCCAGTCCTCTGCACCTGAGCCAGGGCCTCCCCCACCCCTTTAGATCCTCTGACACGTCTCTCGGTCTGGCGTCCCCCTGGGTCATCTTTTCCCAGTAATAATGGTCACCATCACAGTTGCATTATTATTCCCAGTAACACAGGTAGGAGGGGCAGTGTTAGCGCCTGGGGTGAAGGCAATGGTCCCTGCCATTTTAATTCTCCACTTCATTTTCTTGATATTTACCTTTGCGCACGCACGAGAATGCAGATATGTGCATGCTGTGGAACACCTGTGGAGGTCAGAGGACAACATGAGGCACTGACACCTTGTTTGAGGCAGAGGGTCTCTCTGCGGTTGGCCATTGCAAACACCAGAATGCATGTGCCAGGCTAGCTGGCCCGTAGGTTCCCTTAGGGACCCTCCTGTCTCCACTACCCGTCTCACATTAGGGGCACTTGGATGACAAGTGTATGCTACCACGCCCAGCTTCTAGGTGGGTTCTGGGCGGGTATTTGAACTGAGGACCTCAGACTTGCAGAGCGGATGCTTTATCCATTGAGCCACCTCCCCAGCAATCCCCCACTGAAAATTTTTTTTTTCTTGAATTTATTTTATTTTATTTTATGTGTACGAGTGCTTTGCCTGCATGTATGTAAGCATGGCAATGTGCATGCCTGGTACCCAGGAAAGTCAGAAGAAGGCGTCAGATCCCCTGAAACTGGAAATACAGATGGTGCCGAAAACTGAACCCCGGTTCTCTAGAAGAGCAATAAGTGCTCTTAACCCTCTGAGACATCCCTTCAGCCCCTCCCCTACCTTCTTGAAGGTCCACCGTGCACCACCGCCCTGCACTGTACCGAATCTTATGAACTCCACCTTACAGGCTAGGGAACCTGAGGCTCAGAGAGGGTCAGTAGTCTGTGTGCGGTCACGAGGCTGGTGCATGGCAGAACTGAGGTTTATACACCAGGGGAACTTAGCTAACCAGCCTTGGCACCGCAGTCCCCTCTGGCAGGACTCTGGCCTTCTGTCCACCTTGATTCCGTGTCTTTCTTACCCTAGGATGAATCATCGGCTGCAGAGCTTCTTTGGTGGAGCAGTGATGGGCGAGGCTGGCATGAAAACTGTGGAGGATGTGGGGAGTCCCCTGAAATATGAATTCCAGGTAAGGGCGCCTCTCTGGGGTCCTGACTGGTGTCTCTTACGGAGGGCAATGGGGAGATTGTTCTCTGAGTCCGGGGCTCAAAAGTGGGAGGGTTGAGCGTTGTGGAGTTCTGGGTGGTTTTACAGCCGACGGTAACCATGACACATGGGTCACGTGTGCCCACAGGTGAGCCCAGCGGGAGATGGGCTGGCTGCCTTGGGCACACTGGTTCTAGGTCTGGAGTGGCCCTATGAAGTTGCCAATGGCAAGTGGCTGCTGTACCCCACGGAGATCACTATCCGAAGCAATGGGTCCTGGCCCTGTGAGCCGTCTGGAACCCTTGTCAACCCTCTCAACCTCACTCTCTCTGTAAGTTCATCATCAGGAATGGCCCGTGTGAAAATCACTCGCATGTCGGAGGGCAGAAAGGACGGTGTCTTCCCCTGCTTCCTCGGTCCTCATTTCCCCCACCCCTGTCTCTTCTTCTGCCCTCTTCAGGACCCCGGAGACAAGCCACCGTCTCCACTGCGCAGACGGAGACAGCTGGACCCAGGGGGAGACCAGGGTCCCCCACCTGTCACGCTAGCTGCTGCCAAAAAGGCCAAGTCTGAGACTGTGTTGGTGAGTGGCCAGGGCAGGGGTGGGGAGGAGCGTGGGTATCAGGGGCCCACGAAGCAAGGGTGATACAGGCCACGTACACAGAGACGTCATCAATCAGTCTAAAGAGGTGCTGGGGACCTGGGCCTCAGGAGCCTCCTGACAGAAAAACAGGCTTACCTCCTACCCTAGGGAGCATCTCTGCTGGCTGGATTCTGAGGCCTCATACCCTATTGGGGCCATTTAGCTTGGCCATTTGAGTTGAGGGGGGCAGGAGGAAGTGACCTGTGCAGGAAGAAGTTGAGAAGCAAATAGGTGAACCTAGAGGAGGCCTAATTGGCTAGAGAGCTTGAAGGGGTATCCCAGGACAACAGACAGACAACTGCCAGAGTGCTTGGCTTGGGAGGTGTTTTTTAGGCTGGGCCTTGCCAGCCTGAGCAGGGACTCTGTTTCCTGTTCATATTCCCTGAATCAGAAGAGGCTAAATCAGAATGCATCTTGAGCATATGTTTTTGAAGTAGAGGGATGTGCACGAGCAAAACAACGAACACCCAGGGGTGGGATGATGTGAAGTCTAGGAAGGGTAGGCGGTGAGGAGCCAGCATCAGGTCTGGAGACCCAGGCCATCTCATGTCTGTGTACCTCCTGTCCACCTCAGACCTGTGCCAGTGGCCGAGCACGCTGTGTGTGGCTGGAGTGCCCCATTCCAGATAGCTCTAATATCACCAACGTGACCGTGAAGGCTCGGGTATGGAACAGCACCTTCATTGAGGTTCGTGCCAAGTTCAGAGGTCATTGCTGTCATCCGCATGGGTGAGGGGAGTGTGTGTGTGTGTGTGTGTGTGTGTGTGTGTGTGTGTGTGTAAAACAGTACCATGCTCTGCACAGTTGTGCGTCTGTCACTGTGGGCCACATTGGTGTTATATACGTGAGTGTGTAATGCTTCCTTTTACATTCTACTTCAGTACCTTTGACCCTGGTCCTTCCCCTGGGAATGCCAGCTTTTTTTTTTTTTTTTTTTCTGTCTCTGTGTGTGAATTCCCTATTCAGCCATCAAGGTGGCTCCCTCTACATTCACATCTCATCACTGAGATCTTACCTAACTTCAGCAGCTGGGGTCCTCTCTCCTGAACAACACATAACTTTCCCGGAAGAAAAAAGTTACGTGGGTCACCTGTCGTGCTTGGATAGGTTCTGGTTACTCTCATGCCAGTCCTCTCTGGCTACCTCCTTTAAGCTTTTTTTTTTTTTTCTGGCTGGTTTCTGGCATATCTACTCAGTTTCCAACACTGGGTCACAAAAGCTACCCTGGGTAAATGAATGGGTGTGGCTGTGTACCAGGAATAGGTGCTGGGTAGACTTAGTCCAGACTGTGCTGTCCCGGCATCAGCCCCGGACCCAGTGCACAGAGAAGTGAAGGGTGTGTGTGTGTGTGTGTGTGTGTGTGTGTGTGTGTGTGTGTAGGCAAGGCTGGATGACAGCTCCTTGGAGGGTGCTGCCTGGTGGGACACTGAAGGGGGTAGAGTGTGCAGAGTCAGGAGGCTGAGAGAGACTTCAGCTGCTGGTTCTGACTCTCCCTCTGTCTTCCTGGTAGGACTATAAAGACTTTGACAGAGTCAGGGTGGAAGGCTGGGCTACTCTGTTCCTGAGAACCAGAATCCCTACCATCAACATGGAGAACAAGACCACATGGGTGAGTTAACCAGGGCGGCAGCCTCAGGCTGGGCCACACAGCACAGGGCATCATCTCTAAGGGGACGCTGGTGCTCGTCCTGATGGTGCAGGCCTACGACCCTCGTTTCCTAGGTCTGCCTGGGCTATCGTGAATTCAAGGCCAACCTGGGCAGCTGACTGCTGTTCTGTCTCAAGCAAGTGTCTGGGCAGATGGCTCAGTGGGCCAAAGCCTTGTTCTACAAGCATGAAAACCTAAATTTAGATGCTCAGTATCCAAGCACCCAGTTAAAAGCTGGATGTGTTGACCCATGCCTGTAACTTCTTCAGCTTTAGGCCAGTGAAGGCAGTTGGATGCTGGGGGGGCTGGCCGGCCAGCCAATTTAGACAAAATAGCTGCTAGTTCATTGAGACATTGCCTCAAAAAAAAAAAAAAAAAAAAGAAAAGAAAAGTGGAGAGAATGATAGAGGAAGGCATCCAACATTGATCTCTGGCCTCCAAAAAGGCACACAGGGAGCCTACATATACATACATATATGTGCACACACACACACACACACACACAATTTCAAAATCTGGGCGTGGGGTGGCAGTGGGCATGGTGCTATACGCTTTTAATCTCAGCACTCAGGAAGCTGAGGCAGGAGGATCTCTGGGAGTTCAAGGCTAGCCTGGTCTACATAGTGAGTCCTAGGACAGTCAGAATACACAGAGAGACCCTGCTCAGAAACAACCCCCAAATAATAATAAGTAAATAAATAAAAATTAAAAAGAGCTGGCCGTGGTGGTGCTCTAAAGGCTAGTACAGGGGGATTGACGCAAGTTTGAGCTAGCCTGGGCAACTTAGTGAGCTCAAGGACAGCCTGGGCTACGTAGCAAGACTCTGTCTCACAAAACTAAACCAATCCAACAAATCCTCAACACTAACAACATATGTACATAAGGCTGAAAAGGTGTGGAACACCCGGGGATAAATATAGCAATAAACACACAACAAAAAGTTAAAATTATGGCTAGAATTAAAAAAAAAGCCGATATTCTCTCACTGTCGAGTCTTTTCAAATTATTTCAGTCCAACTCAGATTCAGGAAATTCCAAGGGGGGGGGTGGTGGAGTGTTCTAGGTTGGGAGAAGAAACGTGACAGATTGCTAATAATCTATTGTGCAAAGGATGTTAGTTAAAGTACATAGGAGACGCACAGAGCGGGTTAGATGAAAGGTTGGTGAACTACTCCTGATGCACTTCCTAAAGCAGATCAATGGGCTGAAGACGGGCGGAGATAGGGCTGGACAATGGACTGGAAATGAGGTCTATGTCAGAGACCTTCCTCCTCCCTCTTGCAACAGGATCTCACAGTGTAACCCTGGTGGCTTAGAACTTCATTGATAGACCAGGCTGGCCTTGTGCTCAAAGAGATCCTTTTGTCTCTGTCTCCTGCTTCCTGGGATTAAAGGCTTGCACCACCGCCACCAGGCCCATGCTTGGCCTTTTTTTAGGAAAAGTAAATTATTATGAGGAGGTGTGTGTGTGAGCGCGGGCGTGCGTGCTGTGGTGCCCACGTAGAGGTCATCCATTGGGCCCGTGAGGAAAACACTTTCACCCTCTCACCACCTCTGAGCTGCTTCTCCTCCTCCTCCTCCTCCTCCTCCTCCTCCTCCTCCTCCTCCTTCTTCTTTTTTTTTGGTTTTTTCAAGACAGGGTTTCTCTGTGTAGCCTTAGCTGTCCTGCACTCGCTTTGTAGACCAGACTAGTCTTGAACTCACAGAGATCTGCCTGCTTCTGCTGGGATCACGGGCGTGTGCCACCGTGCCCGGCCATTTATTTAGTTTTTAATTAAAAATGCACTTATTTTTTTATGTGTATGAGTATTTTGCTTGCATGTGTGTCTGCACAGTGCCTTCAGAGACCAGAAGAGGCTGTGACCCTGTAATTGGAGTTAACAGGCAGTTGTGAGTTGCCATGTGGGTGCTGAAAATCAAACCCAGGTCCTCTGCAAGAACAGCTAGTGTTAACTGCTGAGCCATCTCGCCAAGCCCTTTTTTTTTTTTTTTAACTTAAAATTTTATTATATTTTTTCTTGGGGAAATTGTATGTGTGTATCACAGTGTGTGTATGCTGAAGTCAAAGGACAACTTGTAAGGTTGGTTCTTTCCTTCCACACCTGTGTGTCTGACTCACGTTGTCAGGCTTGGCAACAAGTGTCTTTACCCTCCGAGCCATCTCACTGGCACTATTGGTTTGTTTGTGAGACATAAGAGCTCACTAGGTAGCCCAGGCTAGTCATAAACTTTGAGAACAATCTTCCTGTCTCAGCCCCCAGAGTGCTGTTACTAAAGGTTTGAGCCTCCAGGAGTGTGGCTTTTACTTTACTAAAGCCAAAAGTCACAAAGAATGAACTGAAAAATTAGACCATATGAAACTGTAAATCGACATACAAAAAAAGATGATAAGTGAAAAGGATAAGGTCCAAAGTGTGGATATGTTTTGAGAGTTCAATATAAAAGACAATATAAAAAAAGGCAATGCACATCAGATAAAATATAACTATTTAACTTACACACATGGAACCTGGTGAGATGGCTCTGTAGATAATGGCTACACAGATGGCTCCACACTGCTTGGGCAGGAAATTTGAGTTTGGTTCCTAGCACACACGTCAGGCATCAGGCGGCTCACAACTGCCCGAATTTACATCCAGGGGATCAGACAACCTCTTCTGGCCTCCATGGGAGCCTGTACTCATGCACATACCCACATCCAATACACACATATGCATGTACATAATTTAATATTAAAAAAAAACAAAACACGTCCAGCAGTCCAGCAGTGGTGGCACACGCCTTTAATGCCAGTGTTTGGGAGGCAGAGGCAGGTGGATTTCTGTGAGTTCAAGACCAGCCTGGTCTACAACTCAAAGTCCAGGACAGCCAGGGCATTTACACAGAGAAACTCTGTCTCAAAAAAATAAGAAACCCCGCCCCTCCCCACAAAACCCTTTAGTTGGGCATGCTAGCACACAACTTTAATCCCAGCACTCTGGAGGCTGAGGCAGGAGGATCACTGTGAGTTCAAGGCTAGCCTGGTCTGCTGTTGAGTCTGTTGAGTTCTAAGCTAGCCAAGGCTACACAATAGTGAGACCCTGTCAGGGGCTGGAGTGATGGCTTAGAGGTTAAGAGCACCGGCTGTTTTTCCAAATGGTCCTGCATTTGATTCCCAACGATCACAATTTGGTTCACAACCGTCTCGTAATGAGATCTGGTGCTCACTTCTGGCATGCAGGCACACATGCAGACAGAATACAGTATAAATAATAAATAAACGTATCTTTTTAAAAAAAATAATGAGACCCCGTCACAAAAATCAAATTAAAAAAAAAAAAAAAACAACTTAAAAATAACAAGAGTTGTCTTCCTGTCTGATTGGAAAATACTAAAAAGAGAAATGCCTTCTGTTGATGCTAGGTGGTAGGAAATGGTTCTGACTGGAGTATAAATTGGTGGCTCCTCTGTGGGATGAATTTGTCAATATTCATTAAAATTTAAAGCACCCATACCCTTTGATCTAGCACATGCGCCTATATTTCAAGGAGGTATCGGGACGAGTGTGCAGAGATAAATATATGGGGTTATTTTAGAGTATTGTTAATCAGAGCAGGGAATTGGAAGCGGTCTAAATGTCTGTCAGTAGGGGATCGGCTCGATAAAATGTGGTCCATTTCTACAGTGACTTTGTGGTCCTCACAAGAGGTCAAGTTGGCCTTTATCCATTGAGAGGGAGAGATGATGTTATTAATAAAAAAAAAAAAAAAAAAAAAGGAAAACAACTGGGGAAGACGAAGCTTGAAGAAGTGTGCATGTAGCGCAGTCCTACCAGTGTGGGTCAAACGGGTTAAAAATACGGAGAGAGCTGGGAAGGGCACACGGGTGCATGCCTATGACCTCAGCACTTGGGAGGCTGAGGCAGGGGTAAAAGTGTGAGGCTAGCTTGGGAAGGAAGGAAGGAAGGAAGGAAGGAAGGAAGGAAGGAAGGAAGGAAGGAAGGAAGGAAGGAAGGAAGGAAGGAAAACACAGCACAGAGATTTACTTTGTATTTTTGTTATTCGTTCGTTCATTCATTCATTCACTCATTCATTCATGAGTGAATGAAGGGTCATGCTATCTGGTTCTGGCTGTCCTGGAAGTCACTGTGTAGACCAGGCTGGCCTCAGACTCTTTGAGATCCACATGCCCCTGCCTCCCAGTGCTGGGATCAAAGGTCCTGCAGGCTTGTTTGTTTGGTCTTTGGAGGTAGGACCTCCTGTAGCCTAGGCTGTTCTTGAACTCCTGATCCTCGTGCCTCCTGCCGCATGCACTGACTGCTGCTCACTGTGGAAACAGTTTTTTTGTTGTTGTTTTTTTTACCCCCAGAGCATCGTGTTTCTGGAAACCTTTGATTTTTCTCTGTTACCTGTTTCTTTTAAAAATCAGAATAATTTCAAAAGAAGGGAAAATCAAGCAGAGTCACCTAGAAAAGTTCTGCTCCAAACACTGGAAACGCAGACACTCCAAAATCTGAAACTTTTTGAGCCACAGAGTAAAACGAAATCCCAAATGTGAACCACCACTGGTTGGTCCCAAGCGCCTCTAGTGTGGACTATGTAATCTGTATATACACTTGCAGACATGAGCATACACATGCCATTATAGGGGGAAAACCAACATGCTATGTGCTGTGTGTTGTTTGTTTTTGAATAACTATTTATGAAGTGGCTGTCGCTCAGCGCAGTCCACTCCTTCTAACCATGTTTAATCCTGTCCAGTGGCCTTTGAGGTCGGGAATTATAATTCCCAGTCCACAGATAGTTTACAGAGAGGTTGAGTAACTTGTTCAAGGCTACACAGCCACTGTATAGTGAACTGGACCTAAGTCCAAGAAGCCTAATTGCCTGAAAGCAGACTCTTGGCCAGGGTACATGAGTGATCCAGAGAGAGATGAAATTACTAGTCCAGGGTCTCACAGCTCAGCAGGAACGGTGTTGGTATGCAAGATGTGTGTGTCACAGACTCGCAAATTCACAAACTCACAAACTCTGGCTGCCTACTGCCAGATCCGAGCCTGGCCAATCTGTGTTAGGGACCTACTTGCTGCTGCCAATGAATCCTGCAGGGGCTTTTTCTACTCTCGATCGCCCCCTACTGGCTGTATGTCAAACAACAGGGCCCCGGCCCCGCTGAGACAAAAAAGGCAATAGAATGAGGGGGCCCGGTCTCAGCAGGCTAACCCAGGCTGAGTCTCTTCTCTCTCCTCTGCAGTTCTCAGTGGACATTGACTCAGAGCTAGTGGAAGAGCTGCCTGCTGAGATCGAGCTGTGGTTGGTGCTCGTGGCCGTGGGGGCTGGGCTGCTGCTGCTGGGGCTCATCATCATCCTGCTGTGGAAGGTAGAGTCTCCCAGCCTGCTGGGGCTCCCCACTTCAGACCCCTGCCAGCGCCAGCACGGCTCACCCTCCATCCCCTGGCTCTGCATCCCATTCCTCATCTCCATCTCAGATGCCCTTTCCTGGGTACTCCCCCCTACCCCCAGCTTTCAGTCCCACCCATGCCTGGGGAGCTCAGGCTGCAAAGGGGAACCCAGGCTGCAAAGGGGAACCCAGGAGCTCCGGTGTCTGGCGATCCACCAAGCTGGGCCCAGGACTTAGCCTTCCAGGTTCCCCAGCATTAAGCCCCGGTCCCCGGAGTTGCTGATGGCCGGGTCTACCAGCACCCCTGATGGCCATCCCCTGCACCTCCTCCCTCCAGTGCGGCTTCTTCAAGCGAGCCCGCACTCGTGCCCTGTATGAAGCTAAGAGGCAGAAGGCTGAGATGAAGAGCCAGCCATCAGAGACAGAAAGGCTGACGGACGACTACTGAGGGGGTCAGCCTCCCCTGCCCCAGCCCTCCCGGGTAACATGGCCTACGGACCTCCTCTTCAAACCCCCAGCTGGCTGGGGCCTCTGATTCTGTCCTGTCTGCTCCTCTTGCCTTAGGGCCTGCTTGGATCTCACTTGTCTACCACCTCAAAGTACAGCCCATTCTGATTGCTCCTCGCCCCCCCCCCCCCCCAACTCCACTTCCTCCTGGCTCTCCAGAGCTTAAAATCCCAAGAGGATTTCCAGTGAGCATGCTGCTTTCTGGAGGACTGGAAAGGAGAAGCAGTCGGGGCTAGACCCTGTCTCTGTCTGATCACCAGGCATGTCCACAATAACTCTTAAGTCCTGTCCCCTCCCACAAGGAAGGAGAGAACCAAGAGAGGCCAGTCCTCCTTGTCTCGAATCCCACCATCTCCCTAGGATAACCATCATACCCACCTCTAGCACTGGCCATTGAGACCACCCTGTCTTCTTAGCCTACAATCTCTGCAGCTGCTTGGCCTCCACCTGCCTCTGCTGTCCTCTGTGTCTTCCTCGGCCAGCCCCTCCTTCCTCTGGGCCTGGGGTGGGGACATTCATCCTCCCATCTCATACTGAGGTTGGGATGTTTGAGTTGGGGACTGCTGTAGGGACCATAGGAGTGTGTGAGTGCGCGCGCGCGCGTGCGTGTGTGTGTGTGTGTCCTGCTTGAATGTACTGATACGGTTTCTCTTTTGCCTGAACTCCAGTGTGACTTCTTTAAGCCGACCCGCTACTACCGGATTATGCCCAAGTACCACGCAGTGCGCATCCGGGAGGAGGAGCGCTACCCACCTCCTGGGAGCACCCTACCCACCAAGAAGCACTGGGTCACCAGCTGGCAGATTCGGGACCGATACTACTGATGCCCTCTCCGACATCCCTCCCGATGCTCCCTTCCTTCCTATTTATCATAAATTATGACTCCGACAGTCCAAAAGGGACCACGCATTTGGCTGGCACCAGCAGGCTCAGGCATATATCCCTCCTCACTGCAGGCATGTTTTCTGGGACCCTAGAATCTCCTTCAAGACCTTGCAGTGCTGAGCACGGCACAGCCCTGCACACTGGACACAGCACACAGGGCCTGCTGCTAACGGCCTCTTCTGATAGCCTGTAGAGGGTACCATGGCCAAGCCTCTGTCTGTGCCAAAACCAAGCCAAAGCACCTCTACTGGGAGCCAGGAGGAAAAGGTCCCTGATGTGGTGACATCTTTCCTCCACACTGGATTCCCCTTGAGCCATTGTCGCTGGACTGACTTTATGGTCCAGAATAAAACTACTGACAAGGAGGAGACTGTCAAGCCCAGCTGCAAATCCGGGCACCCACTGGAGAGCAGGGCCACACGAAAGGCTATCCAGGGGGTGCCCTTACGACTTGTGTGCTCAGACCCAAGAGCAAGGAACTAGAGAGCAGGTCCCCAGAACTGGCTATGAATGGATCTCTCAAATCCTGGCTACAGATGGAGTTGGCAAGAAACGCAGCCCAAAGGAACAAAGAGAAACAAAACCACGGACGGCCTGGACACACTGTGCTGGAACTGACCTGGAGCATGGTGGCATCCTTCAGAGAGCAGGGTATCAGTCACGGCCTAGCAGATCCTGGCAGGATGCAGAGGATTAACTTCTGACCCATCCAGATCACCTCAGCCTGGGCAAGGCCTGGAGACCCCACAAGACCACGTGGGGGTGCGATACTTGAATGTAGGGCAGGGGAGAGCCCAGCCCCTGCCCCAGCTGGCCAGACTCAACTCTGTTCCCTTGACCACAGAGATGGTATTCTGAGCTGCCTGTGGCTTTCTGAGAAACCTAGCCCTTCCCCATCCCTGAAAGCTACATCCTCATTCTGGCAGTGGAGGCTGATGTCCCAGGTCCTCCCCTCTCCCTGATTCCTCCCACTCTGCAGCTCTGCCTCTCACCCCAGCCCACGGTACTATAGCAGCTTCCCCCCCACCCTGTGCCTTCTTTGTATATGGGCTTCTGTCTCTCTTAACATAAATAAACAGTTCCCAGTTTGTACTGCTGCACCTGCCCCTCCCCCGCTCTCCAGTCCTGACCAATCTCAGTCCAGTCTGGAGGGGGTGATGATGATGGATCTGGCACACACACACACACACACCCCAGCAAGCCCTGCGTGAGGCATTTTGATTCAAGCAGGGTTCACTTCATGGAAGTCCAGTTCTCGATAGAATGCCACCAGGGAGTGCTTTCTTTATGTGTCAAGAGTTGTGGCCTGTTGTGTTTGGTGTGACATCAAATGTTTCCATTTATCACTAAGCTTCCGGCTTGGATTTTGGGAGGAAGGGGTGTTGAGACAGGGCCTCAGGCAGCCAGACTGAGGTTTGCACCCAATGGAGGGAGAAAGGGAGGGAGGGAGGGAAGAAGAGCCTGTCCCCTTTGCCTGGCCCTTGAAAAGGACTCACCTGTATTATCTACCACTTCCTGTTAGGCTCGTGGATATCTAGGGATATCCAGGGCCTCTCTGCCAACCTCACTTCTGTTTTTCACTCTGTGTCCTTTCTACATGCCAGGCTCTGTGCCCAGCACTGTAGATAAAGCAATGACTATATCAGACACAACCTGTGTGGTCCTTGAGCTATTGGAAAGACCCATGAATAGGCAGTTAGCCCTCAGTGTGAGAAGCTCTTACCCCCTTCTAAGATCAGGAAGGACAAGTAGGGAGCTCAGCACGGGAGCTCAGCAAAGGCTTCCTGGAGGAGGAGGTGACTAAGCAGCTAAGACCTGAAGAACAGGTACAGGAAGTGGAGTAGAATGGTCTGGCCCCCAGCCCCCAAAAGAGATAGCATTGTCAATGAATTGGAGATTAGAGGCTGGGCCAAGGAGGCAGTAAATGGGTGTTGAGCAGGGGAATGTGAAAAGATGAGGCTAGTAGATGGAGCCAAAGCAGATATAGGGACAACTGGAAAGGCTCCAGAAAGAAGTGGAAAGGTGGAACTGGAGAAATGGCTCAGCTGTGAAGCGTGCCTACTGCTCTTACGGAGGACCTGGGCTGGATTCCCGGTGTCTACATCAGGTAGCTCATGACCAGGTGTAACCCCAATCCCTCTAGCCTGGTCTAGCCTCCACAGTCACCTGCATGCTGTGGGCTACATAAATTCACTCAGGCACGCATGCATACAGGTGATACAGATTATAGATCTCTTTTTTATTTTAATTTTGTTTGTTCTTGTTTTTTTTTTTTAAGACAAAGTTTCTTTGTGTAGCCCTGGCTGTCCTGGCACTCATTCTGTAGACCAGGCTCTGCCTGCCTCTGCCTCCTGAGTGCTGGGATTAAAGGCATGCGCCATAGTGCCTGGCTCCTTTTTTTTTTTTTTTTAAGTGAAAAAAGTCTTGAGTAGGGAACCATTAAGGTCAGATTTGTACTTAAGAACGCCTGCCCACTCTGTTTTTCTAGCTATAAAATGGGGATAATAATAGCACACCAGACTTTCTGAAGCATTAAATGAGAGAGGGCCCAGAGGGATGGCTCAGGGGTTAAGAGCACTTTTTCTTTCAGGGGACCCGGGTTCAGTTGGCAGCACCCTCCTGGGGACTCGCAACCATCCGTAACTCCAGTTCCAGGGATCTGATGAGTACACCAAGCATTCACATGGGTGGTTCATATACTTGTATGAAGGGGAAACACTTACACATAAAATGAATGAAGATATGGGTCACAGTTTACAAAACAACAACAAAAAAGAATTAAATGAGTTAATCCAGGCAAACTTGTGCTCAGCACACAGCATTAAATGCTTTCCGTAAGGAAGCCTTGTTTTGTGTTGCCTACAATGACACTCCGTTCTAACTTGGTGTTTGTGTGTCACTGGGGATCAAACCCACAATCTTGCACATTCTAGAAAAACTGCCAGAGTTACTACCAGCTCAGCCACAGCTCCTGCTCTTACTTTTTTGAGATAAGATCTCGTTAAACTGCCCAGGCTGCAATTGTACTCACTCTACCCCAGAGGTGGCCTTTGAACTGAAATCCTCCAGCCTCAAGCCTCCAAGAGCAGCACCAGGCCCTACTAAACCTGCCTGCTGTTTTGGAACAAAGCTCAGTACTCCGCAGGGGTCAAACACGACCCCGCCGGGAAGCGAAGGACTAAAAAAACAAACGTAGGTAAGCCCCAGAGAGTGGGAAACATACCACATTCCACCAGAAGAGGGCGAATCAGGTTTTGCAGGAAAGAGGCCGGGGGCTGCTAGGAAGATTAGGCCGGGTTTAGGAAACCGCTAAAATGCCTCACCTCCGGGAGGACTGGCAATGAGGAAGCCCGCGGCACAGAAGGTTGCCCTCTCACGTGGTTGTGCAAGACGCGCTATGTTTTGTGTGCAGTCAGACGAGCTAGGTAATAATAAAATGGAACTTCCTAAAATTAGCACTGACGGCAGCTCCGGCCTCTGCTAGTCCGGAGGGGTTTGGCTCCGGGTGTTTTTGTGGTTGTTTTGCAAGTGCCAGAGGTCAATACGGGGCTTCACGCATGCTGAACAAGTGTCATAGCTTCTGAGCGACACTCGCACCCCAAGCTTGGGTGTTTTTCACACGAGAAGAGAAAACGCCGCCTTCTCCTGGGCCACTTGGATGTTTATGGAAGCCAGCGGGTTGCACGCACATAGAATTAGAATAGTCTAAGCTTGCGTCCTGGTTCCAGACTTCCCAAGTATTTATTCTGGGTCCATTTCACAGGAGTGGGAAACCACCACGAGCCCCTATGGCAGAACAGGTGAGCATCAAGTCAGGAGAAACAGGTGCCTTTAGGAAAGGGACAAGGCGGGGGAGGAAGAGTTAAAGAAAGGGAGCGAAGAGGACCTTGGAAGGAGCCAGGAAAATGCAAGAGTGGAAAGGCCAAACGAAGGGTTAGCGGGACCCTGGGGAAAGAAGGGGTTAATCCGGGGCTCGCCCCTAAGAAGTCTAGGGGAGTTAGCGGTCGGAGGCGGGTCCTGAGCACAGCCCAGGAAAACAACAGGCCGCCTCCAGCACCTTCACGGTTAAGGGGGATGGGCCCCGAGGAGAGCCACGTGTCGAAGCGCAAGGCCATTGGCTCTCGCAGGGTTGTTTGTGCGCGACCATTGGCGACGTCGGGCCGCCGGGACAAACCGATTGGCCAGGCATTGGAGGCGCCGCCAGGGTAGGGGTAGGGAGGAGGCGGCCGAAGCGCGTCTCCCGGCCGAGCAGGGCCAAGCGGAGGGCCGGTGCCAGCGCCTCCAGCACCGGGACAGCAGCAGGAGCCGAGCCCGGGCAGCGGGCGCCGTCGCCATGCGCTGGGTCCGGGCGCTGTGGAAGAATGCGTCCCTGGCGGGGGCGCCCAAGTACATCGAGCACTTCAGCAAGTTCTCCCCGTCTCCGCTATCCATGAAGCAGTTTCTAGACTTCGGTACGGAGTCGACGTAGGCGGGCACCCGGGCGGTGGGCGCGGGGAAGGAGACCGTGGCAGTGAGAGGTTAACGCCCGAGGAAGAGGTCCTGGGTGCCGGGAGGGTTGGTTTGGAAGAGTATGGACAGGAATGGGTAAATGGCGAGGCGAGCCTGGCTGCCCAGAAAGAGTTAAGGGTGTCCCCTTCACACTGTTACTAAGAATGGGGGCACGGGGAAAGCGTTGCGAGGGATCATGGGGATTAAGAGGCAGAGAGGGCATAGGGCCCCATCCAGACATGATAGAGCCAGTCGGGGGGGGGCGGGGGATCCCAGCCGCTGAGAGGGGCGACCAGGAATAAACAGGGGACTTGCTGCTGGGAGTGCCAGGGAGATTCAGTCATCTGGTAGACCCGGACTGTGTACCGAAGGGTGAGGTGCTTCTGAACTGAGCAAGCGAGAAATCCCGGGGCAGCTGGGATGGGGGCCCTTTGAGTAGGAGGTGCTGACGGGAGGAACTCCCCTAACTGGTGATCCTCCACCCACTGCAGCTGTCCACTGGGCAAGGACGCTTGAAGATCAAATCTGGTCTGGCCTGGCGGCGGTTCCTAGCTGGGTAGAGCCCAAGTTACCATGAGGTAGTCAGGTGGCTTGCGCGCTGCCATGGCTGTCCCTGGGTTTCTGAAGATCACCCACTCAGTGTTCTGAAGGTGGAGGTGGCTCCAGGGCAGAAGAAAGCTTTGCCAGGTGGTGGATGGAGACCTTGTGTGGCATTCCTATGGTGCCACAATGGTGATTGGGAGTGGACCCAGGTCTTTCAAGAGTTGCATCACAGACAGGAGGACAGGGGAGTGGCAGACAAGACTTGAGCACCTGTTTTCCAGGACGTGCCTTTGTTTCTCCCTGTTCGGTGGGAGTCATAACCTTTACTTGTGTAGGAATTCCTCCAAGGCCCACTCCAAGCCTCGGCAAAGTGTCACAGCCGGAAGGGGCTTGCAGTGGTCCCGTCTGCCTGAATGGGGAAAACTGAACCCCTCAAAAGGGGTGATGGAAGCAGGGCCTGGTTTTGATCCTAGATCCCCTGTCCCTGGGCTGACACTATTCATTCCTCCACTGCCTATCCATCTTGACCCTGGACCAAGGTCCCCATTGGCCTCACAGATGGTCGTTTACATGGCCAATTCTCCGTTGGCATCCATCTGTGTCCTCAGCCTGGATGGGATGGCCTGCCCCAGGGATAATGCCGAGTTCCTACAGTCCTGGGAATCTAGGTACTGCACCTCAGAGAGGGTAGGATTTCTTAAGTACTTCTACTCCCTGGGACAGTCCCCCGGGAGGAGTGCCTACCTAGAGGAATGGGGAAAAAAAATTGAGATGACTTAGGCCAGAACAGTTGAGAACGAGCCCCAGGAACATCTTGCCTCCCTGGTTAGAGACAAATGGGGTTTTAACTGAGGGTCAGTAGGTGATACCGCCCCTGAAGTGTCAAACAGGGTGGTGGTGGGGGTTTCTGCAGTGCTAGGAGGGCTACCTTGCTGTGTGCCATGCATAGGTCACCTGGTCATTTCAGCCTGCCAGTCTCCACACGTGTGACAGTTCCCGTGGTTCGCAGCTTTTGATTGAACCCTCTCTTACCCTCAGGATCCAGCAATGCCTGCGAGAAAACATCATTCACCTTCCTCCGGCAGGAGCTGCCCGTGCGCTTGGCCAACATCATGAAAGAGATCAACCTGCTTCCCGACCGAGTACTGAGCACCCCCTCAGTACAGCTGGTGCAGAGCTGGTGAGGCCCCTCACATCCCATCACCCTTCCGTGTTCCTCAGTTCTCGGGTCAGAGGCTAGGACAGAGGCGAGGCACAGGGGCTCCAAGAGGCTGGGGAGGGAGTGGCCCGGGATCGTGTGGAACACCCGCTTGAGCAGGGACAAAGGTCAAGTTCAGTCTGTGTCTCGCCATCCTGCTTTCATCCAAGAAAGCACAGCTTTCACAGTCAAGAGCGAAAGTCCTTGCTAGTGTCAGCAATAATAGCCCATGGCCTGCTTCTGGAGCAGCCCCTGTTTGCCCAAGTAGCTTCAGAAAACGAGGGTGGGGGTGGGGGCAGGGGGAGAGTGAAGATTCAATTATTCAAGTGGCAACTCTTAACTGTCTTGAATATTGGAGAAGCGCCCAGGTAAACACAGACAACACAGTCTTTTCCCAAAGAGTTCCCAGGGCAAGAATGGCAAATCGATTACAGGCAGCCAAAGACACACAACTCTGTGCGGGGCTGGGTAACTGGAGGCCGCTAGCCACTAACCTCACACGAAATGTAAACAAAGGTGTGTCTGCCACTAGGCCTGTCCCTGGCTGATCATCAATAATAGCCTTTTGTGGCAGCTGGGGACGAAATCTAGTCATCAGGGTTTGTCACGTAGAAAGATGAGGATTCCCCCAGGTTTGGGCGCTATGTCATAGCTGTACCTGTGGGCCCAACACTGGCCTGTGTCTCGGGAAATGGCAGCAGCTGGCTGCGCAGCAGTAGTGATAAGACATGCCTTTGCCTGTCATGCAAGGGCCCTGGGTTGTTCCTTGGCAGCTGAATAAATAGTTCAGGCAATATGAGCGCCGCAGCCGGATAATCGTGGCTGGGAGGCTGAGGTAGGACAGTCGTGATTGTAAGGCTAACCTGAGGAATTTAGCGAGAGCCTGTCTCGGACTAAAACAAAGGACTCAGTGGTAAAGCAGTTGCCTGCTCTAGACGAAGCCCTGTGTTCCCGTCTCAGTAATCACACAGACAAACACAAAGACAGCAGAAGTTTCCCACAAGGGGTCCACAGTGTTCCTGGGAAATGAAATCCTGCCATGATGGGCCAAACAAAGTGCAGTGAGCAGGGAAGGTTACATTTTTGGGTTTTGTTTTGTTTTGTTTTATGAAATGACATTGATTATGGCATCTCCCATTGCAGAAGTGTAATATGTGCATTTTGACACTTGTAAAACAAGGAAAGCGTAGATCACCCTGGTTTATTCTAGAGAGATGGTCTCCAGTATGGGATGGGGCCATGCACACAGGCCAGGTACGCTGTAGGTCCATAATGTCGACTGAGGTCGTGAAGAAAACTGAGCAGGGAGGAGGCAGTACCTGTTTTTCCAGTGTTCGGGAGGTTGAAGCAGGAGGATAATGAGTTCAGGTGTTCAGGACCCACCTAAGCAACAGAGTGAAACATGTTTCAAAGCAAAACACATGGGAAAGTTGAAATAGATACACAGAAGGACTTAGATACTCAGATCTAGGAAGAAAGGAAGGCTGGTGAATATCACTGAGAAGGTGAGGGGTGGGTGGAGGGCAAGGTTTGAATTTCGGAGGGCCTGGCTAAGTCACCCATCATTGAACCCTGCACCAGGAGGTCCAGGACTCCTGAGCCAATCTGCCTGTCTTGCTTACCACAGGGTGGTAGAGCTGTGGGCACGAGACAGAAGGCACCATCTGTTCTCCCAGCCTTCCTGCAGTCTATCCGGCTGACTGGCTTAGATGACTCACCCGTTGGTCCCTGAGTTCATGACAAGACTTCTCAGACCCCTTCAAAGGAGCTGTTCTGGGGGGCAGCCAGGAAGGGTGATTTGTAGAGGTCAGGAGGAGGGCAGGAGAGGCTGCCCTCTGACTCCCCTTCCTGACCTTTCTCAGGAGCTTAGCCTGACTTAGTCTCCCCCTCAAAGCTTGGAAGGAAGGCCAGGAAACAGCAGGAGGGGGAGAGCCAAAGAAAGTACTTCCCCAGGGGATGATTCAACATACAGGAGAACATGCCAAGGGGGTGGTTGGTCATCCTGATACATGAAATTGAGGCTGAGGGGGTTCGAAGAGCCAGTGGGCCTCAGCCACAGAGCCTGGAGAGAGGGCCACTAGCCCTCTAATGAGTATAGAGCAGAACCTCCCCTTGGGGACAAAGGGAAGGGGCATGCAGAGGGAGGGAGCTGGTGGCAGCCCAGTAGTTAATGCACAGCTACAGTTAATGGAGCACTAAAGGCCTGGGCTGATGCTTGAAATGATTAATCCCCAGATCAAAATAAACCTGATCAGCTGTTTCGGCTGCTCAGACTTGGAGTACCGGGGCCATTTTGGGCGGTTACTGGACGTTGGGACCATTCTCTGGGCTTGGCAAGAGCATGTGTGACACGTATGACTTAGAGTCTCGATGGGTACTCCTAACACAGCAATATGGCCTTCCTTGGGCTCAGCATCCTGGCCTGTCTAGCTGAGTCTCAGCTGTTTCTCGGGGTCCCACATTACTGAGTGTGAAATGCATCCTTTGTTAAGAGTTACCACCTTTTCTGTGATGAGACAGATGACTGAAAGCATCCTGGGGAGGAAAGGGTTTATCTGGTATACACTTCCACACCATAGTCCTTCACTGAAGGAAGTCAGTACTGGCTTGCTTTCCTGTGGCATGCTCAGCCTGCTTTCTTGTGGAACCCATGGCCACCAGCTCATGGGTGGCTCCACCCACGATGGGCTGGGCCCTCCTGCATCAACCAGGTATGAAAATGTTCTACAGAAAAAAAAAAAAAAAAAAAAAGAAAATGCTCTACAGACTTCCCTACAGCGAGTGTGATGGGGGCATTTTCCCACTCGTATCTCCCTCTTCGATGGCCCTAGTTTGTGTCAAGTTGACATAAAACTAGCCAGTACACACATCTAGAGCTTGCTCAGTACCAGCCATAGTCCATGCTTCATGGCAGCAGTGCCTGTAGCTCAAGGATGGTGTAATTGTGTCAGAGGTTTCGGAGATAATGCAGCAGTGAGGACAAGGGGTATCGCAAAAATAAAAACGAAAAACAAGCACCCGAGGGCTTGTGGATCATCAGGGGCGGCTCTGTGTGCTGACTCAGACGGGCCCGTAATCTTCATGATGTCCCCTAGCACACGAGTCTCCTCGCTATCTCCACGTGAGAGATGTGAGAGATGGAGGCTCAGGAAGTGGGGAGCCTTGGCTAAGGTTGATTAGGGAGTACTGGTGGATCTGGGATTCGAACCCAGGCCACCGGTTCTGGAGGCTGCATTAGGGATGGGGACAGGAAGAAGGCTTTGTGTGGGCTTATGCCACAGGGCTATGACTTCCATGTCCCCCTGGCAAGTCTGTAGGAAAGTAGGGCTCACCTGAAGAATGGCATGTCTCCTGGTGCTACCAGGGTCCAGAGAGGTATCCATTGGTTCCTCTCAGGAGGAAGATCACCTGAAGAGGCGTGGACAGGTGGGGAGGTACATGCAGTGAGTCACTCCTGTCGCTGGGTCTTGTAGAGTGTAAGGAGTATGTGGAAGGGGCTGATTCAGTGGGTGGGGTGCTATGTGTGTGTTGTGGTGATGGGTATTACCCTCTTATCTACCTCCCTGGCTTGTCTACAAGGTATGTGGACCCCAGGCCCTGCCTGTGAAGAGCCCCACTCCCACCCCACAGAAGCCAGCCAGGCCTTGTCCTGAGCAGAATAAGAAGCAGAAGGTCCTTTGACGAGAGCCAGAGCCTCCTTTAAGTTAGCCTGTCCCTCAGCACACCAGCACACCTGACCTGAGCCAAGCTGATGAGGGATCCCCAAGGCATTTTTAAAGCTAAGCTCTACCCCACCCTGAGCTCCCTCCCGTGAACCCCAGCTTGGGGTTGGGTTGAAGCCTCCCAGTCGCCTGCCTTCAGGGAACAGCCAGGGTCCAAACCCAAGCCTGCCACCCATTCACAGAGTGACTCTGGGTGTGAGATACGTCTGCCCTCTCACTTCTTGCGAATAGCCACACTCCTCACTGGCCATGGGCCGGTTCACATCCTTGTCCCTGGCAGCTGTCGATGCTGGTATGCACCCACAGGCACACACTCTTTACATTTACACACTTGCTCCTTTGGCTCAGCCATCCCTCCACTCCCTACTTCCACATACTACTTGGGGGTGGCTGGGTGCCTTCTCTCTCCTTCTACTGCCGGCCTGTCCCTTCAGGCCTGCATTCCTCTCCCCGGAAGGGATTGTCTCGGGGATGGGTGGGTGTCTCTGTGTTGGAGCATTGGAAATGCTAGATTTTTACCAAGGAGGGGAGGCGCTTAGGCCCTAGGCCTTCCCCTCCCAACCTGGACACACACTTATTTCTCTAGCCTGGCCCTCTCCCTAGTCTGGGTAAGCAAAAATCTCCCAGGTTCTTCCCTGGGTCTGAGAAGCACACCTAGCATCATTTCCCTGTGGAAAATAAGCCCTTTGAGGGGCCGGCAGGTGTGTGAGTCTCCACAGTGTCACCACGGCAGCCCCAACACCCGAGGGCTTGTGGAGCATCAGGGGCTGCTCTGTGTGCCGACTCGGACGGTCCCATAATCTTCATGATGTCCCCTAGCACATGAGTCTCCTCACTGTCTCCATGTGGGAGCTGGAGGCTCAGGAAGTGGGGAGCCTTGGCTGCCTTTGTCAGCAGGTCCATGGCCCTCGGTTCCACGTCACTGGCCATGTAACCAGTTTCACTTCTTCCCTTAAAAGTTCACTGCACAGCCCTGACTGGACCTGGAAACTGGGACTCTGTCCATTTCTACCTCTGGGCATGCACAAAGCCTCCTACCTTCTGTCCCCACCCACCATGAATTCTTGAGAAGGGTTCATGTGGGCCCCCCCACCTCCCATCTGCTCCCTCCTCTTCTCTCCACGTGCCTCCCTCGCACATTCACTTTCATGCTTGTAGCTCCCCTCCCTCAAAGCCTCTGAGCCCAGGTGGAAGACAGTGGTCAGGCCATAGCAGTAGCTCAGCTGAATATCAGCCACCATCATGCCTCTCTCAGGAGACTGAGGTCCTCTTGATGCAGATGTCTGCTGTAGGCAGGGGCGAAGGAAGCTGGTCTATTCACTCATTCTATCCATAGCTGGTCATCAAGAGGAGCAACTCCCACAGTCACTGTGCTAGGTTCTGGCTGGGAAGGACAGGGCGGAGGCCCAGGCCAAGACCATTCCTGCTCCCAGTATGGGATAGCCTGAAGCATGGCTCAGCTGGTGACAGGTTTTAAGCCGAGTCAGCATTCAGAGTACTCTCACCATGCAGTGGGAGGTACGGATAAGGACTCCCGCCTTCCTAGTAAAGAAACAAGCCCAAAGAGGTTCCCTAGTTAACCCTGGGCCACCCTAGAACCCAGCAGACCCAGCTCTTCTTTGATGTTTGAGCTGAAGAGCAGTCTTGGGGTGCAAGGAGAGGGGCATTCTACACAGAAGAGAGTGGGAGCGGAGGCCGAGGTGAGCTCCTCAGCCGCAGCCCCGTAGGTGGCAGGAATTTCAGGAGATCCGAGAGGCTTTGCTGTCCTCTTACCCAGCTGGGGCACTGCTCTGGGGCTTGTTCCCGCCTCTCTTCTCAAGAGGTCTGGGTGCTCTGGATGGGTCCTAACCTAGTGTTTCTCCTAGAGACACCACTGGGCCTCAGGGGCTCTCTGTGACAGGGCTCCAGGTAGTCCCTCCAGTCCTCAGGCTGGATGTGTTTCTGCCACAGGGAACAGAGGAAGGCTGGTTCTTCTGTCTTTCCAGAACAAGATACAGGCTGAGCATATCTGGAGAGGAAGCTAAAGTCATGGCTTAGTGGGGCAAGGGGACAGTGGCACCAAATTGGCACCATCTACAGCCACTTGCCGAAGCTCAGTGCCCTGGCCCCATGTTCTGCTTTGTGTATCAGTCTTTCCTAGTTGGAGAGGAGACCTGCCCCTCTTGCCAGGCCCGTAGAGGCCTATAGGCTCACCCACACCCACCCTGCTCATTGGTTTTGCAGGGCAGAGTGAGCCTCCCTGGTCTTGACGGAGGACAGAGCTGGTCACACCTACTCACTGGGGTTCCCTAGGCAGGTTCCAGATCACTGTGGGAGGGGCCCTGTACCGGCTAACCTGACAGCTACACCCATAGTCCACCAGATGCCTTAACCCCACTGTGGGAGATTTGTCAGTAAAAAGGGCTCAGCAAGGCAGGTAGATGTCTGAGCCCTCTATTGCCATGGCCTTTGGTATAGGGGGGCCTCAGTCCCCTGCTCTCTGTAGGAGGGGGTGATTTCTGGTCCCTCGTAAGGTTGCCGTTACAGGGTTCTGAAGCAAAGAAATGCGCTGTCAGGGAACTAGCAAATTCGAGGTTTCCTTGTACAACTTACTAGGTTGTCAGGGAGACGCAGGGCAGATGAAATGGGACGTTGCTTGTCAGCCGGTTCAGCTCTGCGGCCTCTGAGGGGGTGAGAGGGAGCATTGTGGTAGTCTCAGCTGAGCCCATGGTCCCCTCTGCCTTCAACAGGTATGTCCAGAGTCTTCTGGACATCATGGAATTCTTGGACAAGGACCCCGAGGACCACCGGACCCTAAGCCAGTGAGTGAGCACCGTCATCAGGGACAAGAATCTTGGTTAGGGCCCCAACGATAGAATGCCAGCCGGGTGCAGGGAAAAGCCCCCTGCCTTCAGGGATACCCCAAGAAAGAGGGAGACAGGCTGCTTCTGGGAAACCCAGGTCTGCTGCGAGAGATGCAGACCTGTCAACATGCCGAGAGGATGTGGGAAACCCTGCCCTCAGGAGCAAACCTTCAGAGGAACTGAGAGCTTTAGCTGTAAACAGGAAGAAGATGTAAAGAGCTGAGAGAGGGCTTCAGGTGGGTGAGCACTGTGTGTCTGGGGCTGGAAAGGATAGAGAAAATGGAGGAACCAATAGGAAACTGGGAATAAAGGAGAGCCAGGGGTGTCCCCAAGCCTGAGACTGGGAAGGAGCAAATGTCTGCCTTCTCTGAAGGTTCACCGATGCCCTGGTCACCATCCGGAACCGGCACAATGATGTGGTGCCCACCATGGCACAGGGAGTGCTGGAGTACAAGGACACCTACGGCGATGACCCGGTCTCTAACCAGAACATCCAGTATTTCCTAGATCGCTTCTACCTCAGCCGCATCTCTATCCGCATGCTCATCAACCAGCACAGTGAGTTCTGGCTGCTTCCGAGAGGGCCAGGGGTCCTGGCAGGGCATGCCAGGAAGGGCACTGCCCCTGATAAGAAAGCAGGAGTTCCCACCTCAGCCGATGTGCCAGGGCCCTAAGTGCCGTTCAGGAACTGAAGAGTAACTGGCTTGAGTCAGGTACGGTAGCACATGGCCTATAATCCCAGCACCTGGGAGGCTGAGGCAGAAGGATCATATGTTTGAGGCCAACCTTAGCTACATAGTGAGACTTTGTCTCTAAATGAATGAATGAATGAATGAATGAATAACTGGCTCCAAAAGGAAAGTAAATGTCCAACATTGAGCTCAAATATATTGTTTTAAATAATTGTAAGTGTAAAATATGCTACATATTTAAACGTTTTAAAACAACTTTATTATTTTATTATTTATGCATATGTGGAGATCAGAGAACATCTCCTTCCATCGCGTGGGTCTTGGGGACTGAACTCAGGGCGTCAGGCTTGGCTGCAAGCACCTTTATCCACTGAGCCATCTTGCCAGCCACTTCAACATTTTATTCCCTCCCACCGAAAACTTTAAAAACTCTCATTATATCATATAAAAAAACCCACACAGTTTATTGTTTAGCATTCCTGTCTAAGACTTGCTGTGCTGGTTGGCAAAGCGTAGCCATGTTAAGTGAGTTCTTTATGTCCAAGTCTTTTGAACAGGAAGCTGGTGGAAACTGTCTTAGAGTATTGCATGAAAGTATGAAAGTGAAGAGTACGTTTGAAAACTGGGCTTGATGGCGCACGCCTTAAATCCCAGCACTTGGGAGGGAGAAGCAGGCAGATTTCCGTGAGCTCAAGGCCAGCCTGGTCTACAAATCAAGTTCTAAGATAGTCAGGGCTGTTACATAGAGAAACCCTGTCATGAAAATAAATGAATGAGGGGCTGGAGAGATGGTTCAGTGGTTAAGAGCGCCTTCTGTTCTTCCAAAGGACCGGGGTTCAATTCCTAGCACTTGCATGGCCTCTCACAGCTGTTTGTAACCCTGATTCCTAAGGATCTGACACCTTCACACTAATGCACATAAAATAAAATTAAATAAATTATAAAAAGTAAGTGAGTGAATGAATAAATGAATGTATACATTTAACAGGGTATGATATGGGAGAAGCCTGTGGAAGACTGCGGCAGGGTGCAGAGGCTGTGGAAGGCCTGAGATAGGGGGAAAACAGGACTTGGGGGGCATGCTTTGCATGGAATGCATAGAGGTTTGCAGATGAGGGGAAGGGCAGGATGTTTAGGAAGAGAGAGGGCTAGCCCCTGTGAACTAGCCAAAATGCCCCTTCCTCTCCCCACAGCCCTCATCTTTGATGGCAGCACCAACCCAGCCCACCCCAAACACATTGGCAGCATTGACCCCAACTGCAACGTGTCTGACGTGGTAAAAGGTGAGCCCCTCCCCCCCACCATAGGCCTGGCCCATAAAGGAGTTTCAGGGACCCCTCCCAGATAAGGAGGCCAGAGGGTGACCCATTCCCTGTGGGTGGGAGCCATGTCCCCATGGGTTTCGTGTCCCCCAGGGGACAATGCCAAAGGGAATGCCTACTGGGTCAGCCGCCCATAACTCTGAGTGGCCCTGTCTCCTCTCAGATGCTTATGACATGGCTAAGCTCCTGTGTGACAAGTATTACATGGCCTCACCTGACTTGGAGATCCAGGAAGTCAATGGTAAGCAGATGAAGGTGAGGGGTGTGTGTGCATGTGTTCCGAACAATGGCGACAGGCCAGAGTAGGGGGTCTGGGGGGTCAGACTCCCCTAGAGGGGAGCTGCTCTATATTATTAATCTGTTGGACAACTGTTTATTATTTGGCACATGCGTCATGTGAAGAAGACAGGCAAGGCCACTGCCCTCACAGAGCTCGGTGCCAGGGAGGCCGAGACCTGTGATAGGTAACCGGCGGACATGTAACTGCATCCGCTAATTTCAAAGCCTCGTAAGTGACAGGAAGGACGAGGTACGGGACGAGAGGACAAAGACTGGGGAGAGCGATGTATGATGAGACACTTCCGTAGAACCCAAGACCTACTGGCTTCTTGGCCAGCCCAGGTCTGCCCTGAGAGAACATGGGCTGCAGGGGCACGCTGTATATAAGACTGTGGGAGGTAACCTGATGACCTTGCCATGCTTCTTCTGCCCTCGGTCTTGATCCCCACAGCCACCAACGCCACCCAGCCCATTCACATGGTCTACGTCCCCTCCCACCTCTACCATATGCTCTTTGAGCTCTTCAAGGTAAGAAGGCTGCCCTTCTTAGGGGAGGGTGGGCAGGGTCAAGCCCTCAGCCCTCAGCTTTAGCAGTGCCTTCTCGGCTGGCTTCCCTCAGTGCGTCCTTCCTTCCCTCCCCAGAATGCCATGCGGGCCACTGTGGAAAACCACGAGTCCAGCCTCACTCTGCCCCCTATCAAGATTATGGTGGCCTTGGGTGAAGAAGATCTGTCCATCAAAGTATGTGTGTGACCTCTGACCTGAGCATAGGAGGTCACAGGGCTCGGGGTGAGGAGTGGAGGGCGTGACCTTGGAGGGCCTCTCACGTGTCCCTTGTCTCCCAGATGAGTGACCGAGGCGGGGGTGTCCCCTTGAGGAAGATTGAAAGGCTCTTCAGCTACATGTACTCCACTGCCCCTACACCCCAGCCTGGCACTGGGGGTACCCCGCTGGTGAGATGGCTTCCTCCAGTCCCCTTGTCTCCTGCTTTCTTAAATCCCAAGCTTACTCTACCCCCACCCGCCCCCACAGCTGTGCAATGACAGTGTCCAGTTGTGACCCTGGGCTGCCCATCTGTCCACTGCTTGCTGATAGGGTCCTGCATGCTGCTTATCTGCCTGTCTGCTTTAGCGGTCACTTTTCTTCAGTCCTTTTGTCTTCTCTTTTCTTCATGGCATTGCTAATTGTTGTCACCTCCGTCCCTGCTCTTGTGGAATAGGCGGTCCTGTTCCACGATAGGACCTTAGGGAATAGGCTCCAAGGAGCTTGTAACCACCAGGCCTCTGGGTAGAACTCTCCTGTCCATCTTTCCTCCCTGGTTCCTCTGCGGTTCCTCGGCCTACCACCTACTCCCACCTTCCCCACCCCTGCCCCAGCACCCCTGCCCATCCCCAGTCCAGCATCCGTGACTCATGTGATGACCCGTGGATCCTCTGTAGGCTGGCTTCGGGTATGGACTCCCCATTTCCCGCCTCTACGCCAAGTACTTCCAGGGGGACTTGCAGCTCTTCTCCATGGAGGGCTTTGGGACCGATGCTGTCATCTATCTCAAGGTGAGGTCCGTCGGGGGTGAGTTTGCTGCTCGAAGGTTTCCGCCCCTCCCTTGTGCTTCCTGAGGGCTGAGCCTTTGGCTCCTCAAGCGCCGTAACTTTTAACTAATGTGGTAGGGAACTTCAGGTGGTGTCCAGGGTCTGTGAGTAAGGTCCCTCTTCTGAGGATCCTTTGGAAGGAAGGGGACCTTACAGATCATGGCCTTCAGTTGAGAAGGTATGTGCCTTGGTCACGAATAGGGAGCACACAGCCCAGCCTCCATCCTCTTGGTTCTTTTTGCCTCCCTGACCTTTGAGGGACCAGCTTGCTGAAATGGGCCAGGGCAAGACACAGAAGGCTCAGGCTATTTTAGGGGCTTCTCTGGGCCTGGCGTTGTGTATCAGCTAATGTCTCATTATGGAGCTGACTTAGGCCCGGGTTAGGACTCCAGGGATGGAGACCATCAGGGCCTGGGTGGGAAAGGGTAGGCAGTGAGGAGTGGGGAAGCAGGACACTGATGGCAATGCTCCCTAGGCCCTGTCCACGGACTCTGTGGAGCGCCTGCCTGTCTACAACAAGTCTGCCTGGCGCCACTATCAGACCATCCAGGAGGCCGGTGACTGGTGTGTGCCCAGCACAGAGCCCAGGAACACATCAACGTATCGTGTCAGCTAGGGGCCTTCTCTCCCTGGCACCTAGGAGGATGCTGCCACCTCTGAATCCAGCCACCACAGGGACCTTCCCCATCCCCTGGGGTACAGTGGTGAAGCTGGGTCTCCCTGCCGACCAGGTCCATCTTTGTAGAAATCTCAGTGGCCCATCTGTGGTGGTCCCTAAGTGCCAATCTGTCTCTATGGAGAAATCTAGGGGGTTTTCCTGGAGCCCGGTCTCCACGGTGATGCCTGAGGGTTGGGGTTGGCTCTACCTGATAGGGTGCCCCAAAGATACTTTTCCATGGCAGTTCTCCCAAGACCAGAATTGTCGGGACCCCTGGGTCCCCCTCACTGCCTGCATAGTCCTGGCCTCCCAAGTGGCTGCCCTGCTTACCTTAGGCCCGCACCCTGTACAGGCCCGGTCCTTTGTCAATGTTAAGAAGGGTGGATTGTATCCTCAGGTCTGGAGGGAGAATGGGGTGCACCCAACCCGCCCCACCAGGATTCCAAGGCGATCTTGGCGAAGTCGCCGCCCAGCATGTCCTCAGGTGCACACCTCCCTGCCCCGTGTACACCCACCCTCTCCTGCCCGAGCTGCAGACCCCGGGTCCCCGCTCTGCCCACTATGTGTGCACAGATGACTCGCCCCCTAGGACGCCCCATGTACATAGCCGGTTTTGTAAATCTCCGATGCCTCACCTCCTCCCCTCCGCACACAGGGGTTAAAGCCGTGTGCCCCTCCCAGGGGCTGGGATGGTGACAGTGACACCCGCAGTAAATAGGTGAAATGAGACTGGTGCCTGGCTGCCTTGCTGGGGGAGGGCGCGTCCACACACGCACCCGTGGGAAGACTGGCTCTCTGGGACTAACTGTTCTCACGACCTGGCCTAGCTGGCTAGCGGAGGACACCACCAGGACACCTGATAGCCCGTAGCACAGTGGCACTCAAGGCATAGCTCAGTCCCTTGGCCCAGACAGAAAGCTCACTGGTATGTGGTAAGTATTTATTGAAAGAAATAATTGAGAACCATCTCCCCCCTTCACATGCAGGTGGGCACACTTGGCTCCTGACGGCTTTAGGGACAGTAGGGCCTCCACCCTCCCCACCCAGTCTAGATAGTGCCAATGCCCCTATACCTTCATTTCCCTCTGAGGCCCCTCTCCCAGGGCAGATGGCTGAGCCCAAGCTCATGGCCCTGGCCTTTAGCCACTTCCCCAGGCCGGAGAGAGGGAATTAGCATGCAGATCCTGTCCATCCCTTCAGGAAGCTGGGAGGGGTGGGAGTTGAGTTTCTCATCAGAAAACCTGGACCCAGTAATAACTGACCAGAGCCCAAGAGGCTTGGTCGGCATGACATCTGGATCCTCTCTCTCTGAACATGTCCTATGGAGGGCATGTGCCAGCCCCCCACCCTGAAGCCCAGCAAACCTAAGCAGTGTGTATCAGCTCTAGGCCCATTGAGGCCTTGACACACCCAGGACACCTGGAAAGCCAATGGAACCTTCTGATCCAGCAGTTTCCAGACCACCCTTGGATTGTGTCAGCACCATCTAGGCACTGGGGGGGAGGGGATGTCCTGTGTCCCCAACAGCTCCCAAGCTCATCCTGCCCCCAAAGAAGTACTCTCTGAAGAACTGGATTCTAGCTCTTCGAAAGGGTCAGAGGCCCACTCCTGACCCAATGGGAGAGGAGCAGACCTATGCCCTGGAACCTGCAGGGTAATGAAGAGGGAAGAGAGAGGGCTCCCTTCTCTGCAGTCCTTACGAGGCCAGCTTACCCTGCGCTGCTCGCTCTTCTCTCCTTTGAGGAGGTGTCTGGGAATCTACCCTGAGTGCTACTGGCAGTGCCCACTGGCCTCTCTGAGGAGAACTGCCCCCACCCTCCACACAGCCACCTTCCAGAGCTGAGGAGACACAGTTGTCTCCTGCCCGCTGTCGGGATGCCCAGGCTGCTCTCTAAGCCTAGGAATCCTGGTCAGGGTAGGGCCTCTCCTGCCAGGTCATTTCCCGCTCAATGCCACTCTAGCCAGAGGGCGGAGGTTCAGCTTGAACCAGGCTCCTCTGGGCTCCAGATTTGCTGCATTCCTGGCCTCTGCCCTCTTCATCTGCCACCTGCTTCTCCCTGGAAGTCTGTGCCAAATAAGTCCTCGAAATTGGGTTTATTACTGGGATCTCCCTCCAGAGGACTCGGTTCAAACAGGGTAAGGGGATCATGTACCCCAAGAGCCCAGTGCCTAGACTCTGCTTCCCTGGTAAGACCCATGCAGGTGGCTGCAAATGCGCCGGGGTGCCAGCCCCGCCAGCCAGCCCTAGCTCTTCTTGGCCTCATGCTCTCGGCGGCGCAGCTTTTCCCGCTGCCGTGCTGTCTTCTCCTGCGCCTTCCGTTCCTTCTCAGCAGCCGCTGCCAGCTCCTTCAACTTCCGCTTTACCAGTGCCCGGTCATGCGAATTGCTAAGCCCCAGGCTCTGGGAAGAAATCCAGAGCGAAGTGAAGAGAGGCCCAGAACACTACCCATGTACTCCCTGCAGGCCCCCTGGAGTCTGCTCTGAAGTATGGCCTGGGAAGGGGGCCCCAAAGGGAAGAGGAAGGGCCTGCAAGTGATCACAGAGATGACTACTCTTGGCACTGGGTCATTTGTCCCCCATCCTGAGCTCCGGATCCTCAACCTAGGCTTTCAGCCACTTAGCATGACCCTACCCAACCTCCTGAGGTCCTCAGGATGGAGAGTGATTTGCTTGAGGTCACACAGCTAATCAGCTAGGTCCCTCCCCACCACCTCTCTATACTGTCCCCTTAGCACACCTCTACCACCAAGCTCTGAGAATGAATATAGGTGGCAGCTGGCCAGAAAAAGAGGCCTGGCTTCCCAGCTTCGTATGGTAGTCCCAAAGTCAAGGTCAGTCTGGAGACCCGGGGTGGAGCTAGGAGGTCAGATGAAAGTGGTGGGCTTTGAGTTTCAAGTCAGGCTGGGGAGTCAGTCGCACTACACTGCAAAGATTAGACCAGAATCTTGCATAGAGGTCGGAAGCCATGTCAGAGGCTGCGCACGGAGAGGAAATCCCAGGAGGCAAGTCAAGGCAATGGGGGTCTCTATTTTGTACTCTGTCATACCTTCAGTTTGCTTCCATCCAGCTGCAGGAGCTGTGGCCCGTCCACCTCCTGGGCAGCAAACTCGGCTGCATACTGTTCCAGGTTGAGGCTGCGCAGCCACTGGCCCACCTGCTGGCTGCTCCAGTGTTGTACAGTAGGGAGGGACTCATCCAGGAACTGTGGAAGCGATGGGGAGAGTAAAGGGAGCCCAGCCTGGGGCAGGGCCTCCCAGCAGGCACAGAGGCCAGCCTCGCTCACCTCATCTGAAGACTGGGATAACGTGTGGTAGGGATAGGAGCACTTGGTCTCCTGTCGAGGACCGCTGGGGATCTTGGGGCTGCTGCTGGGAGGTGTGGAGTCATCGCTCAGGGTAGACTCCTGCACAGAAATGGATGTGTGCTGAGGAGCAAGTCCGATCCCCACCCCTGGGCCCGTTCACCTTGACCAGATGGAGCTGAAATACTAGACTAGGCCCCAGCAGCTGTCCAGTGCTTCTGACCATGAACCCAGAACTAGGCAGCCAGACACAGGCTAGGATGACCTAAGTGACACATCAGAACCCGAGCCTTCTAGGAGGGAGCTGGCCACCTAGAGGACATGGCACAAGCATTGTTAGGCAGACGAATTGACAGGAATGGAGGACGGTCGGCGCTGCTTCCTGCAGCATCCTTTCTCCAGGCTGGGTCTCGTGACCCTGTTACATAAAATCCTTCTCTTGCATTCTGGCTGGTGGGCACACCCATTGGCCTCAGATGTCTGGGAGGACTTGGGCGGTGTCTCACTCAGCATGGTGTCCCCTTGGGACCAACTTGAAAGAAGGAAGAAAGGGAGGGTTTGAGGAAGAATATAGGGTAGTTAAAAACCCAGAGGGTCTCTCTCCTGAGCCCCAAGATTTCTGATTTTCCTAAGCCCGGGCACCATATGCATCTGTGCACATCTGTGGGCAAATTTCTTTTCTCCAGACCTCATGTGCTCGTCTGTACAATGCATGATAATTCCTGCCTTGCCTACATCACAGTTAAAGCCACACACAAAACGTAGGCTTTCTAAAGTACAGTGGTCCGTGTGAATGTAAGGAGACTTCAGTATTGCTTGTGTTGATGGTTCTCGTTTCCTAGGGGCTGCAGTTTTCAAAGCCCTCCCCCTCCCTCTCTCTCTTGTTTTTGTGTTTGTTTGTTTGTTTGTTTGTTTTAGGCAGTATTTTTCTAGGCTGTCCTGGACTTACTCTGTAGACCAGGCTGGCCTCGAACTCAGAGATCTGCCTAACCTTGCCTCCCTGAGTGCTGGGACTAAAGGTGGTCACCACCAGCCCCAGTGACTGCCCATCTCCTTATCTCCCAAACTTCCCCAAACATGCAGATGGCCAGCTCTTAATGGTGCAATCCAGACTTGATTGAAGCAGGGCAGTAGGAAACAAGGGTTTCTCAGACTAAGTGAGGGGCTCAGTAGGGGCTGAGTTCCTTAGTAGGGGGCTCAGTGTCCCCACCGGAGCACTGAGGGTAAGAAGCAATATGAACGTACGAAGGCAGTATGAATGGGTATGAATGCATGAGCCATGAATGAATGAAGCCAGAGCAGATGGAAGTCATGCTTCACTAGGTGGACTGGGACACGATGGGTCCCAGTCCAAGCCATGATGATGTCCCTGCTGTGAGCCTAGAAGCCAGCGTGGAGTAAGAAAGCCCTGGTGTCACACTGGGCAGGATGGCACACTCCTCTAGTTCAAGCACTAAGAAGGCAAAGGGAAGAGGATTTGTAGTTCCAGGATAGCCTGGGCTACAAAGTAAAACTGTCTCAGGGGGGAAAGAAAGCTGGATGATAGGAAGGAGAGAGAGAGAGAGAGAGAGAGAGAAGAAATAAAGACCTGGGCTTACCTGAGAAGCTGACTTCTTGGGGCTGAAGCTCTCATGTTTGGGGGAACAGGTCGGGGAGGTGGTGCTCCCCGAGGAAGCAGAGCCCTTGCCGCTGTCTGTGAACCACGAAAAGGGCAGGAACGGGGAACCCCCTGTCCTTCCAGACCCTTCTACAGACTCCCTGTGGAGAAAGCATCCAGCATGGCGTGGGTGCCCGGGAGAGGATGGGAGCCGTGGGTGGGTGCCATGGGTGGGTGCTGTGGGTACCTCTTACCTGCTGCCCATGGACAGGCGGTTGCTACCCTTCTCTTTCCGGCTCTTGCCAGTGGACGCTCTGCGGAGGGTGACCCTGGAAGGAGGCAGAGGGGATGGGACATACCTGCCTAGTGCGATGCCCTGAGCCCAGCAGCTCCAAGGACACATGCAGTGCCTGCCCCACTCACCCCAGGTCCAGGAATTTTCTGCGAGTCTTCTTATCCAGGCCAATGGTGGGGCTGGCAGGCTCGGGGGGGCTGGCATCCCGGCTGTCATCTTTAGAAGAAGAGGGGGAAGGAAACAGCTAAAGCGGTGGTTTGCTGCTGCCCATGGGGGGTGGTAGACATTTCTTGACTTAGGATTAGGCCATCCGGCTCTGGGGAATTCTTCATTAGCTATGTGACCCAGGATAAGACACTCTGTGTGTCCGAGTTCCCCTTCATTTCAAATATGCCCATTTTACAGTATCTAATGGGAGCCTAGGCTTTTGCCATTTGCATACTATGAAAGCACGTCACAACCGAGAAGGTAGGACTTTTTATTTAACTTTGAGACAGGGTTTCTCTGTGTAGCCTTGGCCGTCCTGGCGCTCACTCTGTAGACCAGGCTGGCCTTGAACTCAAGGAAATCTACCTGTCTCTGCCTCTCAAGCCCTGGGATTAAAGGTGTACGCCACCACCACCTGGCAGAAGATAGGACTATTAATGTTTGTTAAGTCATTTGTTTTTGAGACAGGGTATCAATGAAACCCAGGCTGGCTTGGAACTCTATGTGGCCTTGGGCTTCGGATTCTCCTGTCTCCGCCTCCTGAGTACTGGAAAACCAAGGCACATCACCGTCTCTGGCATTCTGCAGTGACCAAGGCTCCCTGCGTGCTAGGCATACCAGTGACTTTATCTTGGCCATCTTCTAACCAGCCTTCTTTCAGTCTTGGCTGAAATGTCACATCCTCAGGGAAGCACGATTTAACAATTGTGTATATTTCCTGCATAGCTTTTATTATAGTTTGTAACTATACGTTAATTGCGGGGTGATTTGGTTTTTTCCTTTCTTAAGCTGTACGTTCTCAGAGGCCAAGGACTGTCTCTCTGCTCTGTTTGGGCCCAGTGATGTCTGGCATATGACAAGCTTCTGTAAATGAGCAACGGAACCCGATGGCCCACCATCGCTCACTTGCAAGCCACCCCTCCGCCTGTGGTAACTGCGTTTCCGATGCTCGCCAGCAGGGGGCACCACGCCCACCGGGCTCACCTTCGCTGTGAGGCTCTGCTCTCGGATAGCGGCGCACGAAACTGGGGGAGCTGTCGGAGGAGGGTGCGGAGCGCGGTGGCGAGCTGGAGGTGGCGGCCAGGCCCTCATGCGAGGCGGCATTGTGCAGGGGCCGGTAGCGGGCAAGTGGCGAGGGCGGCGGCTCGTCCTCATCCAGACTGCGCCGCAAGCCGGGGGGCTCCAGGCAGAAAGAGCCACCGGCCGGGGAGCCTGGGCCCGAGTGCAGAGGCGAGCGCAGCCGGTGCAGCGGACTACCGCAGCTGTCAGTCACCTGGAAGAACGGCAGCAGCTCACCCAGCGCCCCCACCCCCCACCCCGTCCTCACTCCCGGGAGGATGGAGACCTGTTTCCCCTGTCAGCTGTGCTGGAGCAACAGGGAAGCTCCGCTTCTTGGGGCCTGAAGGGACTGGGGCTGAGGTGTGGCTGAGCAGTGACAAGTGACAAGAAATGGATGATCACACGAAGTGAGGGCGTCCTGCTTCATTTGCTAACTGTGGGACTTCCCGAACCCTTCTGGTGTCAGCTTCATTTGTAAGATGGGCTCCTTTTTGCTTTTCTACAAAGGTACAGGAGCCAGAAGTGAACTGACTCAGATCTCCAGGGGCACAGTTCCCTGGAAGCGCAGGGGACAGGGTAGGATGGGGGGGTGGCAAGATGTAAGTGTGTGTATGTTACCCCAACCTTGCCTCCAGGCCCATCAGAGCCTTCACCATCCTCAGCAGAGCTGGCACTGTCACGAAGCCTGGAGCGGGAGGGTCGGTGTCTCCGGCCCTTAGCCAGCAGCTGAGCCCTGGCTTTGTGTAAGCTGCTGTCCAGTCTGGTGGTCTCTGGTACAGCCAAGTCCAGGTCTGCAAACAGAGACCGGAGACACTTCAGAGGGCCGCCCGACTCAACCACAGAGACATTTAACCGGTGTGTGGGGGTGCGTGCTTGTAGGTGAAGCTGCTGTCTCCCACAGTTGGGCTGTTCAGAACCTGACCTTGGCGCTGGGGGTCTTCCCCGGCTTCAGGATGATTCAATATACTCCTGTTTGCTCTTCTCGATATCTCCAGGGGCCCCGTGACATCCTTCACACCCACTCTGTATTACCTGCTCCTCTCTCATCTGTAGACAGCCCTACTTAAGGACTACTTTGTTCCCAGCCCTGATTCCTCTACTAGATTCCAAGCCTAGGCACCTTCCAGGGAGCCAAGGCTACACAGAGAACGGGCCTCTCTTCCTCCCTTGCTTCCTTCCTCCCCCTCCCTCCCTCTCTCTCTCTCCTTCTCTCTCCTTCCCCCCTCTCTCATTAGCTTGCCTTACTCAGGCTTCTTATCTCCTAGACCAATCATCTACCCAAGTCACCCAGCTTGAACAGCTCTGAGCTACCTGTCTCCCCTCAGCCCTCGTAGACGCCCTCCTAGACTCTGTTCCTACACTTAGCTGTCTCCTTGCATCCTCGGCTGCATAGTCAAGCATCTTCAATTCCCATGTCAAACTGAGCTCTCAGCCTTTCCTTCCTGCCTGCCATGGCACTCCTGGTTGGTCTCCCTACCTTGGTAAACCCTGCCCCCCTCCTTCTTGCTACTCAGGCCAATCTTGGGTCCTTTTTGACTCCCCTTTCCCCCTACCTTGCCTCTTTCCTTCCAGATTAGTTTAGCTGCATTCCTGTCAGCTCCACCCTCAGAAGATGTAGCCCTATTGAAATATCGAGGGGAAGGATGAGGATGTTTTAGATGAGACACAGAATGATCCAGGGCAATGAAGAGTGATGGGGAGGCGGGGGAATGAAACAAGTCTGCCCAGGGGGTGACCATAGTAGAAATGGGGTGTCCAGAACTTGAGTACACGACAGGGTGCATTGTGCTCGGGACCTGAATCTGGGGTCCTCTACAATGCTCTAAACTGCCCACTCTGAAGCCCAAGCTCTTAGGTTTCGTCAGCAAAATATTGTTTACGGGTGAGAGCACATGTGGATACAGGCGCACATACAGAGAGGAGCAGGGAAGAGGAGGGGAGGGGTAGGGAGAAAAGGGGAGGGAGGGAAAGAGAGAGGAGCACCGGGTCTAGGGTTCCATCATCTCCTGCCTCTGCTAGGAAAGGGCCTCCTGCCCCCTCCTTTCCCACTTAGCGTTTTTCAGCACAGCAGCCAGAGTGATCCTAATGTGATGTGTCAGCTCCGTGGGTCTCCTGCTCAGAACCATCTCAAGCAGAGTCGGAGCCAATGTTCTCCCAGTGGCCTTCTGGACTCAGTCTGTGCTCCGCTTGCCTCTCTGAGCTTCTGTCTCTGTCCCTTCCTTCCAGCCTCCCTCATAGGGATCAAAACCCTTTGCATATATAACACCCCCTCCATATACCCCAAGGCACCATTCCTGTTTTTTTTTTTCTTATATTGTGTGCCACTCTCTGGCCTCCTAAATACACCTCTTTCCACCTATTAGACAATCAGTTCCATAAGGGCAGAGCTTTCAGCCTGTGACTATATCATGGGAACTGGACAGTCCCTGGTGCATAGCAGGTGCCCAGTGAAGACAGAAAAAGGGCCTGGAAGTGGTGACACACACCTTTAAACCCAACACTCAGCAGGCAGAGAACCCTCAAGTTCCAGGCCAGCTTGCTCTACAAAGTGAGTTCTGGGGCAGGCAGGGCTACACAGAAAAAAATAACAAAAACAAACAAACAAAAAGAAAGAAAGAGAAAAAAGGGCAAAGAAGGAGCTATCCTTAAACAGACAAGGACACAATAGCGATCAGGGCTACTGCCTCAGATGTGGTAGCCAGGCTGAGGCCTGGGTGGCTGTACAGAGCTGGCATTGTAAAGAGGGCCAGAAGGAGATTTTCTAAGCAGAGAGAGTGAATGGGCTTGAGGTGTCAAGGAACAACCAGGGAACAGCCTGATTGAAGATGGAAGTAGACTCAGAGGCTGTGGCAATTGTCCAGGGATGTGACGGGGGTGGGGGTAGGGTCGGGGATGGGGGAGGCTGGGAGAAGGCAGCTACTGTCAGGGCTGCTCTTTTGGGTCCAGATGTGACTATCTTCAGTTGTGATGAAAAGCATCCCGGTGCCCCTGGAAGCAGCCAGGAGCTGGTAATAGCTCACATTGCTGTAAGTGCACAATTACCGGTCATTGAAACCTCCTACAATCGTGGAGGACGGGACTCAGGATCCCCAGAGCAGCCTTAATTCGCCCAAGAGCATAGAGCTGGCGAGAGCTAGCTAGGGCCAAAGACAGTCGGTCTGACTCGATGCGCCAGACAGATCAGCTGTGTGACCTTTCCAAACAGAGAAGGAGGCAACCTTGAGTCTGAGCCCTCATTTTGTGGGGTGGAGAAACTGAACTCAGAGGAGAGAGGTTTGGTCAGCTGTGTGGAGGATGTCAATGCGGTAGCCAGGTCTCCTGGCTCCTGAGCCAGTGCTCTGACCTCCTCTCCATTCCTGGTACCCAGCTAGCATCCAACCTTCTGCATCAGGGTGATGGGTCCTTGTTCCACATGGCAACATGGGTATCGCCCACAGTCTGGAGAGCAAAAGGCCTCCTGGTGGCTTGGGGGGGGGGGTATAAGGCAAGGTGGAGACAGTCTCACCAGAGCCCCTCAAACCTTCTATCTGTTCCCTTCCCTGCCCCCCATCTGGCTCTGAGCAGTGAGAGTGATGAATATTTAATTGTCTTCATATGAGGAAGCAGGCAGTACCCAGCTACCTCAGCAGACAGGAGGAAAACAAAAAAAGGATTAATGAGGAACATGGGGTAGGAGGTAGGGACAGAGGAGAAAGAAAGGCCCTCCCCCTCACCAAGGGAAGCTTACCTCTATGGACCTGCCAAGGTTAGCCTGGACCTGTGTAGAGCCAGCCTCATAGGAAAGTGCTGTGGGAGGGGTTGGAGTTGGGGGGTGGGGGCTGTGTGGAGAGCGGTGTTCCCCAAAACAATGAGGAAGCAATACTGGCAAGATAGGGCCAGTGTTGATGGCCAGGAAGGAAGAACAGAGGGAAAGGGAGAGATGGGAGAAAGCAGGAGAAGCCGGAACCCTGTGGCATTCCAAGGCAAACCTTGGCCTTCCAAGGTTTAGGAGCCCCTTGGAGTTGTACATAGGACTTGTCCACTCAAATCAAGCTGGGGGGCAGCCTTTCCACCACACAGCCACACAGCATGCTGACAGCTCTGTCCTGGTGGGGTGGCCACTCAAAATGATAGTGGGTACACAGATACCAGTGGATGCTGAAGGCATGGGCAGGTGTGTGTGTGTGTGTGTGTGTGTGTGTGTGTGTGTGTGTGGCGGGGGAGACAAGACCGCAGGCACTTACATATGTGACTTGGAAAAAGTGTATGGTGTCCGAGCTGGAGAACACAGAGGTTTAGCCCAGTGACTAAAGGCTTGGGAGCCAGACGCTCTAGGGTTTTTAATCTCAGTCCTGCCACTAACTTGCCATGTGTGGTTTATTTATTTATTCATTCATTCATTCATTCCCTGTGTGTATGTGTTTGTGCATATTCATGTAGGCATAGAAGCCAGAGGCCGTTGGCCTCAATCCCTCTCCGCCTGAGTTTTAGAGACAGGGTCTCTCACTGAGCCCACAGTTAACTACTCTGGCTAGTCTGGCTGCCTATAAAGCCCTGAGAATCCTGTCTTCCTGTCCCCGGCACTGGGATTACACGTATGTACTGCTTAGCCAGCTTTTCGGCTTTTTTTTTTTTTTTTTTAACAGGATTTTTCTATGTAGGCCTGCCTGGCTGTCCTGGAACTCTGTGTAGATCAGTAGGGCCTCACACTCACAGAGATCCACCTGTCAGTTTCCCAAACACAGGGATTAAAGGCTTGTGCTCAGTTTTTATGTGGGTGTTTGGGATTGAATTCGTGACTTCCATGCTATGATTGTTGTTGTTGTTGTTGTTGTTATTATTATTATTATTGTGTGTGTGCGCATGTATGATGTGTGACTGTGGGTGTGTATATCATAGAACACACGAGGAGGTCAGAGGATAACTTGGGGGAGCTGTTCTCTCCCTACACCTTTACATGGGTTATGGGGATCAAACACAGTTTAGCACAGTTAGCACCCTTATCTGTTGAGCCATCTCACTAGCCTCCTGTGATCTTTAAAGCAAGTCGTATCAGCAGTCTACACCCTAGACCCCTGGTCTGTACAACTAACATTATTTTGCTAATTAGATGATATACATCGTGTACCGGAGCGCCCTATCTGCCCTCCCCCATGCAATGCCCAGGAGAGTTGAAGGAAAGGCTCCATGGCTAAGTCTATTGCTAGACATGAAGCCACGCAGAACTTACCAAAAACTTCATCCACAGGTTCTCGGAGCTTTGAGGAAGCCATGACTCAAGAGAGCTGGGAAAGACAAAAAGGGGAGAGAGAGAGAGACCCTGGATAAGAGGCTCAACTTGGCTGTGGCAATAAAGAAGTCAATAGCTTTTAGCTTCCGGCTGTCTCACTGCTTTCCTTTCCTTTGAGCTCTTTGGCCCCTGGAAGAGAAGCCTGTGGGTGTTGAGGCAGGAGACTTAAGCAGAAAGCCAAAGCAAAGCCAATTCAGGGCATAGACTGCCTTCTGTGAGATGGGCCCAGCTCCCGGTTGCTGACTTCATATCTGTACCTGCACTGCCTAAGGCCCTTCAATCACTAGCATCCCCTAAAAGCCTCCACCATCATCAAAATGTCCAACATCAAACCTAGAAGTCATGGAGATGATTAAATCCAGATCTCCCATTTTACACAGAAACAGAAGAGGGAGCTGCTGGCTCAAAGCAATTAATGGCAAGTTCAGATGTAAAAACCCAGGTGCAAGCCAGCCGGGAGTGGTGCTGCACACCTGTAATCCCAGCACTCAGGGAGGCAGAGGCAGGCGGATCTCTTTGAGTCCGAGGCCAGCCTGGTTTGCAAAAGTGAGTCCAGGACAGCCAAGGCTACACAGAGAAACCCTGTCTCAAACAACAAAACGAAGGTGCTCACCATCCATTTGCCTACCTATGTTTATATCTATCTGCTTGGTCTCCTTCCCCCCCCGCCCCCCAGCCTCGCCCAGTGTGTACTCCATCGAACATCCATCCAACATCTATTCCATGTCCGTGCATCTACCCATCATGGCATCTATCGGTTCTCCATCTTCCATCCATCATGCTAGCTTGTTCGCCTGCCTCCATCACTGCGGCCCTCACCACCTGCTTTTCCAAACTGTTCAGGAAGCTAGCACCACCAGCAGGGCCGCTCACTGTTCTCACAGTTCTCAACAGACTTGCAGATGGGGCAGGGCATTGAGTTTTCACAGCAGAACATCTCCGAGGCGTTCAGAATGTTCTGGGAAGAAGTGTGGACGGACAGAGCCGAACTGTTTTGGATCTTGGTATTTGTTTGATTTTGTTGTGGGAAGCAAGGAGAGCAGGTAAGGAAGAGGAGTGGGACAAATGCATCTGAACCACCTTGGCCAGGCTTCCTACTAACATGTATAGGAGACAGGGATGAGAAGAGAGGGTTGGGGATCAGGGACCGTTGATGGTTCAGGGAAGGGAGACACTAAACGGCTGAGACATAATCTCCAGTTACTTCTAATACTCTGGCCCCTGGGAGGAGGGCAGGGCACTGGACAAGACCACATGCCTTCTAGCTCTCCTATCTTTTGTACAGACATTATGTCTCCATGAGCTGCTAGGCTTAGCGGCTTGGTACCCCCCCCCCCCCCACTTTACAGGTGTGAGCCTTTATAGGCAAGAGCCAAGAGGCAGCCGCTGACCCACTGTCTCCTGCTCCTCAGCTCTGTCCCGGAGGCTTGATCTGCAGTTCTGGCATTGCTCATGAGGAGGGCTGGGTAAAGGTGGGGGTGGGGCTGGGGGTTGGGAGCTGGTCTGCACTGGCTAGGATTAAGGCAAGCATTAAAACCACCTCCAATAGGCTTCGGGGATGCTTGGAACTGAGCCAAAACATGCCATATGGGAGAGGGGTCAAGGGTGTCTCAACAAGGACCCTTTTGCAGTTCTTGAACTCTGGGGACTAGGGACTAGTAGCCAAGGTCTAGAATATTCCTTCCTGGCCTGAGAGGCCAGATCAAGGTAGGCTGGCCCTTAACATATCTGTACCTCTTCATTGGCTCACAAAGCCTTCTCTGACTAGGATCCAGCTGTCCCTCTTCCAGATCGCTGTCCCGGGTTACCACCCTCATTTGTCTGAAACCACTTCTCTGGTTCCTGAAGAATGGAGACCTTTTCATACTTGACCAGTTTCCTACTTGGGTCTTATCTCTCTTCCACAGAAGCCACATGCTCAGGATAGTAGCTGCTTCTCCTACAGAATGGCTGCTCTCTGCAGACAGTAGAAAACACCTCCTCTCTCAACACAGAGAAGGCCAGCCCATGTGCTCCACTGACAACCCCAGTACAGGGGCAAGGTCCTGGTGTGCACTGAGGTCTCCTTTAGCCCCGTGGGTAGACTGGGGCCTCCAGCTCAGGCTCCCTGTCTTTAGCAGGCAGCTCCCATAACTGTGGGGGAGCCTTCCTGCACTATCCCATGTGGAACTCCATGGGAGAATACCATCTAGGAGGTCACCTGCCCCTGCCACCTAAATATCTCCTCCCTAAAACTCAGCCTTGGAAAACTAGATACCTACTCTCACCTCTCCTCCCACTCCTGCACACCCTCCCTCACTCATAGGTGTTCAACTACACAAAGGTGCAAATGAACTCCTTCCCTCAGACGACCTTTGGGCTCCCTTGACACTAACTAGTTCACTCCCTTCCCCAATAGCTACCAGTTCCTAGAGGACCATCAGTGACCTCTGACCTTTCTCTGGGAAAAGGAAAGGCTGGCAAGTTCCAAGCTACCCAGGGCTCAAGGGAAGGAGACAGCAAAACAAAAGGTATACAATCTGGGGACTGAACGGGAAGGAGGAACCAGCAGATCCAGAGGTAGAGACTGCCAGCGTCCACAGGGAGCCAAGAAGAAAGATCAAGAAAGAGCAGACCCAGGAGGCTCAGGGAAAGCAGCTGGGCAGCCCCAAGGCCCACCATTGGGGGGAGAAAAGAACACAGCACCCGCCTCACAAGCAAGACGGGAGAAGGGGGCCCAAGTAGAAGAGAGGAGAGAGGGAGAGAGGCAGCTGACAGTACGCAGAAGTGGTTGACGGCAGGTTGGCCTGGGGGGAGGCAGCTGTATTGCTAAGGAGGTCGCGCCCCTCCCATGCCACCAGTCTTCAGCCAGCTTGGAGCGGTCCGGTCCGCAGGAGTTTGACAGCCCCTCAAAGAGCCGCGGAAGACGGGGTCGGTGGATAGCGCACCTGCTTCTTGTCATAGAGTCCCCTCTCCCTAATCACAGAGGCTAGAACAGTTTCTCCAACCCACAGGTCCAACTGCCCGGGTAGGAAGGAGTTAAGGCCTCTCCCCCTACCCCCACACCAGTATTTCTTTCTTTCTTTTTCTTTCCTTTCTTTCTTTCTTTTTTATTTTCTTTTCAAAATTAATTTCCCTAGGGGGTCGAAGGGGATTAGGGACACGAATGCTATTTCTGTCTTCTTCTGACAGCCAGCTCCCCAGTCCAGTGAGGTCTCCCTAGGGATAGAGGAAGAAAGGCCCTTGTCGCTTAGATCTATTTAGCCCCCCTGGGGGTCCCACCTTGAGTCCAATAGTCTCTGGCCCTACTTCCCCTTCCATCATGGAGGACCCGGACCCTCACCTCCAGCATCCGTCATTTTCAGAGACCGGAGCCCCAGGAACCCCTCAGGCCCATGGTGCTCGAGGCGAGTGCCGGGTAGGAGAGGGGCGGAGGACTTTTCACCCCGGCCGCGGGGGGCTCCGTGCTGGCAGGAGTCGCTCCATCCCAGGGTGTTGTGGGGGATCGGCGGGGAGGGTCCCGGAGCCGGAAAGAATGAAGAGGCTTGTAGGGATGCAGGGAGAAGGTCTGCGGGAAGCAAGAGGCGCGGGCGGGGCTGGACCGGGAAACCTGACGGAAGGATGCTCCCTGTGTGCGTGCGTGTACGTATGTGTGTGCGTGCGTATGTGTGTGTGTGTGTGTGTGCGTGTGTGTGTGCGTGTGCGTGTGTGTGTGTGTGTGTGTGTGAGAGAGAGAGAGAGAGAGAGAACCAGAGAGCCACCTTCCGCCCCGCCCCTGCCAAGCCCCTCGGGTCGCGGACCCTCGCGCCACAGGCCGATTTTTGCAGCGTCGCAGTGGTTAGGTCCGTGGGGGTCGCCGGGATAAGGCGATGCGCGCGGGAGGAGGGGGGGTGGGGGGCGCTTGTGGGGAGGCCGGGCGCCCCGGAGACAAAGAGCAGGAGGGAAGAGGGGAGGAGGCGGGCGGGCGGGGCGGAGGCGACAGGGACGGGGGGGGGGGGGGGGGGGGCTGCGGGTGCCCGCGGCCCGGCCCGGGATCCCGATTGCCGCTACTTCTCGGACCGCGGGAGTCTCGGCGCTAGGGAGTCTGCGCGCGAGGAGCCGGCGAGTGGCAGGGAAGCGACCAGGGAGGCCGTCCTGCCTTAACACGCTCGGGGCTTTCCGCCTCCTCTGCAGGGTCTGTGAAGGCTCCCGATTCTCTTTTATTCAACAAGCATCCTGGGCGCTGAAGCAGAAGGGGACCACCGTTGAACAGAGCAGACTCGGTTCATTACAGTCAGGTTTCAGCCAAGTGGGACTTCCCAAGCCTGAGAGCTGTGGGTCCCGGAGTGTGTGAAAAAGACACTTCAAGTTCTGGAGGGGGCGTGCACCCTGGGCACTGGAGTAGGGGCGCAGGGAGGATTCCTAGAGATGTGTGGCTACTCCTGCTGGCCAGGCTGCTGGAGACTTACTCGTGAGCATTGTGGGGAGGATGGATCAACAGGGAAAATGAACAGAGGCTGGAGGGTTGACATTTCATTTACTGCTTCCTGTCGCCCCCCCCCCCCCCCCCCCCCCCCCCCCCCCCCCCAGCCCCTTCCCACAAAGGTTAACCGAGGAGGGAGGAGCTCCAACACGCATGTTAGACTCCTTGGGCACCCCAGTGGAGAACAGACTGCAGGGGGCAGCCGGAAGTCTGGCGCCAGCCTCAAGGGATTGTTGAAAGATGACAGCAGTGGGCATGAAGATTAAAGATCAAGCTGAGAGCTATTCTGGCTATAGAATTGAAGACACAGACAGGATTTGGAGCCTGCTGGACAAAGAACTGAGAGAGAAGGAGGGGTCTAAGATGGCTATGGGTCCTGGCTGGGGGCCTGGCAGTTCTGGAGCTAGGGGATGGAGGTTGGAATGGATGAGCTCAGACTTGGACCTGGTGAGCCAGAGATGGCGGGTCAGTGGTGGTGGTTGTTGTTGTTGGTGGTGGTGGTGGTGGGTGTGATTGCCAGCTAGCTACCATGCAGCAAGACTTGGGGTGTGCCAGGTACCCCTCAGATTCTTTTACACACACCCCAATAAAACTGTAAGATTCTCTTGTCCTCTAAGATGCACAGGGCAGAGACTCAAAAATGAAAATGGTTTGTTCAGGAGCAAGTGATGACCTTGGAGAAAGCCCAGTACTTAGTGAGAGCAGTGGGGTCTGGAGAGCTAGCGCACTCCCGATGGCTCATGGGGAATGGGCCGCTGCCAAGGGCCTGTGGGCAGCAGCATGTTGAGCCAAGAGTTCCCTAGAACTGTGAGTGGAGACAGTATCAATGGGGCTGAGAGCATCCCAGGGCTGGAGGACCTGTGGGTACATTCTGAGAGTCTGGTGAGGCCGCAGGTTCATGTGGAGATGATATCTCCACAAGTGACCACCTGTGCAGGCGCTCTGTAGGGCAAGTGGTTCTCAAACTCCCTTACGCTGCCACCCTTTAATGCAGTTCCTTATGTTGTGGTGACCCTCAGTGTTCTCGGATGGTCTTAGGCGATCCCTGTGAGAAGGGCCTTGACCCACAGGTTGAGAACTACTGCTCTAGGGTTTTTGTTTTGGTTTTTCAAGACAGGGTTTCTCTGTGTTGCTCTGGCTGTCCTGGACTTGCTTTGTGGACCAGGCTGGACTTGAACTCGCAGCAGTCCATCTGCCTCTGCCTCCATGAGTGCTGGGATTAAAGGCGTGCACCACCACTCCAGGCTGCTCTAAGATCTTAATGGGAGATGTGTGTGTCTTTCAGTGCTAGAATGGCACCCTTTTCCTAATCAGGCCTAGGGTGCTGAGATCTGGGGATGGGGAGGCAGCTGATATCCTTCCTCTGCAGCAAATATTGAGGTTACGACAGATCTGCTCAAGCTCAGTAGACGATGGTAATAGATGGGTTGGGGGAGTTAAGATGGCCAACTTCACAGTTTGCTGACACCACCTGACAGCCCTTCCAATGGACATGTCACGAGTTAAGTCACAGTTCAGGCCTGAGAAGCTCCCAGAAAAGCCATACACAAGTCCCCCGGGGCATACAACACACTCATCCTTAAACGTGGAGTGCCACTTAACCACTATTGGAACATCTGGGAAAGGTCCCCTCCTCACACAGTCCTCGGGATGGGTACGGGCCACAGGTCTTCCCCTTCAGATGCTTGTCCTGTCACCACAAACAGCCACATCTCACCATAAACCCTCACATCTCTCTACCTAACCAGGAGGCTCCAGCTGCTCTACTTCTTGGTGAAGTTTCCTGAGCAGGGACTTGGTCTTGTGGCTCAGGAAATTCTAACCTAGGCATGATGGGCTGTTGTCATGGGTTCAGCCCTACCTGGATCTACCTGCAACATTCCCTGAGCTCCCAATGTTCCAAGGACGATCTGGTGAAAGGAATTGCCCTGAGAGGCCACAATCATTGCTAGCTTTCTTGTGACTCTAAGGTAGGTGCCAGATCTGGACAGGTCTTACATGGCCCTGAGACACAGAACCAGTTTCGAGGGTAGTTAACAGGAAGTCTGTGACAGAAATAACCATTAGGAGTAGCTACCTTCGGAGCTGTTAGAAAAAGAACCCCCCCCCTCCCGTGTAGCCCTGGCTGTCCTGTACCCTTTGTAGACCAGGCTAACTTTGAACTCACAGAGATCCACCTGTCTGTGCCTCTCAGGGTGCTGGAATTACAGCCTGGATTTTCTGTTGTTTTTTTCAAGATAGGGTCTCTCTATATAGCCTTGGCTGTCCTGGACTCTTACTGGAATTTTTACAGAGACAACTCACTCATCGCTGGTGTTATCTGGGACTAACTAAGTGATCAGAGAGCCTGGAGACTGGGAATTTTGTTTTCTATCAAAAGGGGAAATGAGACTCCCATCCCAACCCCCCCAGCATGGGGGCGTCCAAGCTACCAAAGATTTGCCTTCCAGCATCTGTACAAGAAGAGGCTGTGCTGTGTACTGCGGGAGTCTCACTACATTCACTTTTGGGACTCACCAAAACTTGTCCCTGGAACTGAGAGCTAGTGGAGCAGCTGGGACTGTATGAGGCTCCTCAAGCCAGCTCAGGGGCAAAGAACACTCTTTGATCTTGGGAACAACAATGCTGTGCCAGTTATCTCCTAAGTCACCCCATAAAATCTTTGGCCCTCCTGGAACTTTAGAGACCTCTGGGGTCTTGCAGACCGCTGCGTTCTCAGGGCAGGGGAGTCGCTTTTGCTGCATTCAGTCCATTCTCTGGCTTAGAGACCTTGGAAAACAGACCTGAAGAGACTGTCTAGAGATCCCACGAAAAGTAGGCAATGGTGACAAGTGAGTTTACGGAGACTGGAGCTGGAGAACTGAACTAGCATGAAGATCCTCTCTAGGTTCTGCGTAAAATTAGGAAAAGGAGGGAAACTGGCATTCCTTTCCCTCCCTCTCCAACGCATCAAGAAACCAGGCGGCGAGGCTCTGGGGGCTGCTTTTATGGGGACGACCTGACAGAGGGCATGGTCCGTACAAAACCAGGAACAATACATACATATATATATTATATACAGAGACGGGGTCCTCCAAGGGCGGGGCAGGAGCGCTGCCGGTCAGAACCGGAAGTGCATCAAGACCCACCCACCCGGCTCCGCCCCCTCCATCTGCCTGGGTGAAGTGCAAGGGGCCGGGCACTGTGACAGCCAGCTTTCTGGGGTTTTGGGGCACGTCTGGGGGCGGAAGAAGGGGGCAAGAAATACTGACTGATGGTATGGTCTATTTACAGGGAACTAGGAGAAGCCGAAAAGGTTAGAACTGGGTTATTTTAAAAAAATGAACAGAAACCTAGGCTTGGGGCAGGGGTAGTGTGTGGAAGTGGCAAAATGAGATGGATTTTGAAAGGGGAGGGTACCTGAGGGGGTCTCACCTCCCTTGGTCCAAGCCCCAATTTGGGGTTAAAGTGGGTTAACTAAGTCAATTTCACTTAGAAAGCAGGCTGACAGCAAGCAGCCCTGGTCTCCAAAAAGATGAGTAGTAAAATTTTGCCCTCCAGTGAAAACATTGGAAAACAGTGGGGGAGTGGAGGCTGGGAGGCTGAGTCTCTTCGCTGTTAATACAAGGCTTCCAGGTGTGGCCCTGGGCAGGGCCTAGCTCCCCAGTGAGAGCTCTGTAGGCACACCCCTAAGCTGACCTCCCTCCCTCCTGGCATTCCTAGGCTAGACCAAGGAAACCTGAATCCCAGAGTGGCCTCGGGGCAGTTCCAGGAGGTGGCTATGGCTATTTGGCACCTGGGAAGAGGGGAGGCACAAGGAGAAGTTGAGGGCTGTTGCCCTTCCTAGGAAAGGGGAGCTGGATTCCAGGTGTTCTGGACTCATCCTTTTCCCTACTCCCACTCTCCTTCCCCCCTGAAGGATACATAAGAAATCAGTGCAGGACTAGGCCCAGCCTCTCAAGGGTGGGCTTTATCCCTCCTGGAATGGGAAGCAGGGATGGGAGATGTTGAGGCAAGCCCTCCAAGCAGGAGGCCAGAATGCAACAGACAGCACGATGATAGGATAGAGGAAAGGGCCAAGAATGGAGAATCTCAAGTCAAGAGGTCCAGGGGCCACGTAGACCCCGTGGGCAGGGAGCAGCCTCCAAGTGGTGAGATGCCGGGAGAACCCCAGCTCCACTCCGGTCCAGAGACACAGGCTGGAGGTTGTAAAGTCTGGCAGTTTGGTCTGCAGGTCCTTGTGTCCATCCACCACCCAGGCCAGCTCTCAGCTTCTCTCGGCCTCTGTGCCTCAGCTCCATAGGACAAGGAGCCCACTCTTCCAGCCACCATTGTCTGCCCTGGCCACCCTCAAGGGGC